GCAGAGATAGGTTCATAGTTACTATTGAACTTGAATAGGAAGTCATATACTAGCAATCTAAGTGTGGCCTAGAAATGTACCTTTCACCTACTTTCATCATGAATTGAACTTTGCAAATTTTGGTTCCCTTTTATCTCCAAAACTGGCAGAGATAGGTCCATAGTTACTATTGAACTTGAATAGGAAATCATTAGTGGCAATTTACTGTGACCTTGAAATTGACCTTTGACCTACTTTTCACCATGAACTTAACTTTGCAAATTTTGGTTTCCTTTTATCTCCAAAACTGGCAAAGATACACCCATAGTTACTATTGAATTTGAATAGAAAGTCATTAGAGGCAATTTACTGTGACCTTGAAATTGACCTTTGACCTACTTTTCAACATGAACTGAACTTTGCTAATTTCTTTCCCTTTTAACTCCAAACCTGACAGAGATAGGTCCATAGTTACTATTGAAGTTGAATAGGAAGTCATATACTTGTAATCTTACTCTGACCTTGAAATTGACCTTTGACCTACTTTACACCATAAACTGAACTTTGCAATTTTTTTTAATGCTTATACTTTCAAAACTGGCAAACATACACCCATAGTTACTATTGAATTTGAATAGAAAGTCATTAGAGGCAATTTACTGTGACCTTGAAATTGACCTTTGACCTACTTTTCAACATGAACTGAACTTTGCTAATTTCTTTCCCTTTTAACTCCAAACTTGGCAGAGATATGTCCATAGTTACTATTGAACTTGAATAGGAAGTCAAAAACTGGCAATCTAAGTGTGACCTTGAAATTGACCTTTGACCTACTTTTCATCATGAATTGAACTTTGCAAATTTTGGTTCCCTTTTATCTCCAAAACTGGCAGAGATACGCCCATAGTTACTATTGAACTTGAATAGGAAGTCATATACTGGCAATTTACTGTGACCTTGAAATTGACCTTTGACCTACTTTTTACGATGATCTGAACTTTGATTGTAGCATTTTTAGTTATATTTTTTTGCATATTTTGAGAATTCTTGTTGATTACATTTTTTACTGCTTGTCAAGCACAAGACTGATGGTACAATATTCGGAGGCGGTATCACCTCTCTGATCCTCTAGTTTGTATTTTACAGCATCGAATTGACATATGCAGTAATATTTGACGTTTTTAAACTTAAAAACCTGACTCTGTATGATAAGTCTACCAGTAAAATACACGCTGAACAGAAATGTACAATTTAAAACTGAAAGCCGCGTCAATGTCTGCCATCCTGAATGTCAATATGAGAGGAGTACGTATGCTGTGCTTGCCTGTAGAACAGGTACAAACAAATTTAGGAAGGCGGTGACCTGTGGTTAGATCACAATACCACGTTGTTAATTATTCATGTCACGTACTACTCAAATTCTATGTATATTGTCATGTTCCAAAACTGTGTGTATTAACATACAACAATGGTCAAAAAGGTTGTCCCACCCCTATTTCCATGTACTTATATTTACAAATGATCACCTCACAGATGAAAATTGTTATTAACGGTGCTCTTTATTCAAGATATCGTGTCTAACATAATTAATGGTTCAAAAAATACAAAATAGTGGTGAAAATATGCTTATTGTGTGTAAATTTGGTGACATTTGATGGCCTCTTTTCAATTTAATAGGCATTTCTTACATCTGTAGAAATCACAATGAAACAATGGATTTGAGGCTGTCAGTTTGTACAGACAAAAAGCAGAAAATAATGATGCACAACATAGGCTACTGTCAATTTTGATGCAATAGTACATGACGGTTAACAGCAAAGTCAACACCAAATTTTAATTATTCACAAGTAATATGGATGTAAGTAAAATTTGTGACTAGCATAAGGTTTCAGGTCCATGAGAGTTCCAGTACACACCTGAAAATGCCAGAATGACAAAAATGAAAATTTCACAAAAAATTGAATAAAGCCAAGAAAAAAATGATAATCCAATTGAACTGGTTTTGCAATTTGAGCTGTATGTCAATCCTAAGAATCATTCTTGTAAGTTACAAATTATAAGTAACATGTTTTTTTTTATAATGTTTTTGTGGTGGCAATACACAAAGTAGGTTTTTTGTCAATTTCTGCCATATTATGTTAACACACAGTAAACACTAATCACCTGACACCTTTCCTCCATCCACTCTTGTCTCCCACTGCAAAAATGATTCTGGTTTCTCAGTGTCAAAATCATTTTGGAAAAATGACACTAGTTTCTGGTTGCCAGGTTTGTTTTTGAAAAACGAAACCCATATGTAAGAGTACATACAGTATATCATCAATGTTGCTTGACAACTAATCTCATTAATTAATTTATAGCCATAGTTAGCCTTCCACACTGTTAATTGATAGTAAAGTAAAAGGTCTTTTGAATCAGAGTTCTAAAATTTACAGGGTTCAAAGGTTTGAGTCAAAAATCAATTAAGCCGCTCTGAAACATTGGATATTTGCAGGAATCTACTCCACAGACAGGTGCATTTCCTCCACAATGAGACGGGTGTTGCTTCGGGAACCAGAGGTGATATCTGTGTTTGAGGACATCCCATTAACGTCTGCACATGTGTTGTCAGCATACAATGAGATAACAATGTCACCTGATTGTAATCCTTTACAGATGCCTTCAACTGAAAAAGTAAGGATGGAACAATGTGAAAACCTTGAATGCATTTTTTTTCATATGCCTATAATGCATTTCAAATTTCAGAATGAAAGAGTGTGTATAAAACAGGCACAAAACATTTTAACAGATGGCTATAAGAATTATGAATTAAATGTAAGGAAAAATAATTCCAGCCAATTTACAAATAGTGTTACTAAATAAACTAATAAATCTCATTTAACTGAATATATATTTTTTTTATATAATTTTTTTATCAATGTGACTGGCTAAATTAGAAAAGCCAGAATGACCGCATTCAGAACAGGGGACTAACAGATTCGCAGATCAAATATGCTTGTTGCGTAACCCCGGCGTGGAATCTATTCAGTGCATAATCAGGACTTAAGCTGTAAGCTTTTTAGTAAGTAGCCACATTTGATCCTCTGTTAGTCTGCTGTTTAAAATAGGCACTCAGTGTTATACTGTATTTCCAACACTTACTAGGATATGTTCTAAGATAGCTTGTTGGTGGGTTTGTATATAGTCTTATATAAATACTAGCTGGGTTGGTACACTCTTGGCCATTAAACTTGAAATAGAACTTGGCACAAAGACCCCCAGGTGTGTCAAAGTCACCTATCAGCTTGACATGAAGGGTACTCAGCGAGGACTTTTTCCTATAAGTTGCATTCTACAAAAAAATATTAATTTTTAAAAATTTTGTCCATGGACTATTGTTTCAATCAAAACATTCGCTTAAGTTTACCACATGTACAATTCATTATATTATACTATTAGTATAACACTATGTATGTTCTTTCAGTTAATAAAAGCAATTAAAAAAAATAAGTATCCTACAGATGTACATTTTAAACTGGTGATGTACACAAGATATTAGACCTTGCAGGCTACTTCAAAATATAATTTCCAATTATAATGTATAAAGGTTATAACTGACAGCAAATATTATGTTTACAATTACAATTATCAATAAATAATTTATAATATTATCATAATGCACTGAGCACTAATCATAAAAAATATATCACCTTTAAAAGCCCATTATCAGTTGTATCAGCTTGTATATCCCAGTAAAACTGCTGGATATTAAATACAGGCACTTGGTACATGACACCATCTGCATCTTCAACTGAAATAATCATAGTAATTTATTTAATACATGAATGGTATGTAGTTGCATATTTTTAATTGTTTAAAACAATTCTCTAGGCATAACCTACCATGGCAATCACTTTAACAAGTTCCAAATGCTGAAACTTTTGACCAGGCCACAGCTTTCTACTTCTCTAAGTTAGAAATAAACTCCTCTTTTATGCATTGCAGATACACATATTCAATCAAATGACCAAATGATATAAAAATCTCTGTTTCACTTGCAATATAACAAGATCCAAATGCTTAAACTTTTGACCAGGCCACAGCTTTCTACTTCTGTAATTTAAAAATGAACTCCTCTTTCATGCACTGCAGTTAATCACATATTCAATACAAATGACCAAATGATATAAAGATCTGTATTTCACTTGGAATCATCATGACTTACAAGCATCAATATCATGTCCCATACGTATTTCTTCCACCATAAACCTGGAAACAGCCAACCATCCTGTGTTTGCCTCTCCAGTTTCCACCTCATTCACACTGCTGCGACTTTCACCAATCAACAGACGGATGCGGATTTTGCCTGCTGGGATACCTTCACAAATACCTTCCACTGAAAATGAAATGATAAAATATCACATTTTTTTCTTGTTACATATCAAAATACTACAGAGATAATATTGCTTACTGATAAGCTTTTGTGCACACATAATCAACTCTATCTAAAGGTACAAATAACCTCTATATGGGACTTTCAAAATATTTTATAGTTTTAAGACAATTTTCTCTAGTGAGTAGCATCTCATGTATATGACAAAGCCTTGTTCAGTAAAACCAAGATATCACTCTTCTGGCTTTTACGATTGCTGTCTTAAATTCTTTGGAATAAAAATTTATTACCAAGTCCAGTCCTGCTTTCACCTTCCAGTCCAGATCCAGCAAACTGTCCCACTACTCCCTCTATAGGAGTCGGAAAACATTCTTTTGTTGAAAATGTAATGTACCTGTAAGATCAGACACCACAATGCAATTATATTATATAAACAAGTACTAGGATGGAAAAGGGTTCTGTGAAAGATTTGTTACAATTGTGATTTACCATTCAAGTTTTAGTGATGGTTGTTACTTTGTATTATTTGCTGTACATGTACATCATGCTGCAAATGACAGCAAGTGCCTCCATAATACATGACACAATCAGCACAATAAACACAATACAACAGGCACAATGTAATTTGCACAACATGACACATTCAGCACAACGAACACAACACAACAAGCACAATACAACCAGCACCACACAACACATTGGCACAACCCAATGGAACCAGCTCTATATAATACAATCAGTGCAGTTGAATGCAATTCAGCTCTAAACACAGCAGAATAGTGTCACATTTTATCAGATAACTAATACCCACCATCTTTTACTTGTGTCTCCTTGCAACCACAATGTGCCTTCCCACTTCACACGCACTGCAGTGTCTTCCTCACGCTTCACATAGTCAATGTACTAAATATAATATGATCACATATTCATGTACACAGCACAGTTTAATCTTCAATCAACAATAGTTGCTAAAGGAGACAAAAAATCACTTGAGGTCCTCAATAATTGAGGTCCTCAATAATTTTTCATCATATTTAACTTGCCCACCCTAGTTTACTGTGGCTTTAAACTATCTTTAATTTGACTATTCTAATTTAAATTTAAAAACAGATTTGACAAAAAAAACAAAAATTTGAAAGTTTAATGCAACAGACATTTGGGTTAATGTGAGTACTCTGATTCGAAAATGATAAATTCTTTAATCAACAACATCCTTACTGTTAGTTCTCCAGAAATATCTGCTTTGTTTAAGTTGTGCACTGTGTGTTGCTGTACATTGAAGACGGAATGTGCTCCACAGGGACTTGGGATAGAGGCCTCTGGTTAAAATACAGGAAGAATACACACTCTTTACTAAGATATTCATCAAGTTAAATTTACCTACATATACTGTGACCTGTATAAGACTATTGTTCAATGTTATAAACTATACAGCTGCACCCACAGATATTTATGATGCAGTTTCACAGGTCTGTTGAAAAAGTCACAATGGAACAAAAAGATCATTTCAGGACAAAGACTGAATGCATAATGTTTAAAAAATGAGAGAGAGAAAAAGATAGAAAGATTGGCCAATAATCACAGTATTACTCGAATTTAATCTCACCTCCACAAATATCTTCCTTGCGGGACTGAATATCATGCTGCTCAGCAGTGTCCAGAATTTCTTGCCATGATAGGACATTCCCTTTCAGTTCAGACTGACATGTCTGTCCCATGGCAGCAATATCTAGTACTTTATCCCATACATTGACTCCAGTCAGATAACCAACATATGCTTGTGAGGTGGCAAAACATCCACCCACACAATCCTGACCTTGACCCATGACCCAGGCTCCACCGCCTAATAGAGAGTTAGTAAGTTTGGAAAAAATATTGGATGCAACAATTGTCAATAAAAAACACAAGGCAGGGAGTCTCAGTAAAACCGCCCAGCACACAGATCAAAACAACTTCAGTAAATCCCAAAGAAAGAATATATATATATCTGATGAAACAAAACATCCACCCAAACAATCCTGCTCTTGACCTATGACCCAGGTTCCACCTCCTAAAAAATGTATTAGAATATTTGTAATCAATTGACAAGTTTGCACATAAGGAAGGATAGAATTATCAACTATGATGGTACATATATTTTGTAATGTTATGGCATGTTACCTTTGATACAACAGTATTCAGTTTTTGAGGTGAAATGACCTGTTTTCCATATTGTATTAGTTCAACATGGAAGACCTCAGCAAGTACACAATTAGGTAAACATAGGTCTGTATATGGAGATAAGTATATGGAGATAAGTTGACACCACTTTTCCCCCTCCTACCAAGGCCGTCAGTGATCATAATACATCTATCCCCTCTTCTTGGTTATTGTGCTTATAATAAAATAGGATAATTAAAACACAACATTACTTTCCTTTTATCCGCATTCCAGAGGATAATCCCACGGCAGTTTTCATCAGCAGTCCATCAGAGTAGAGAGCCCATTCACCATTTGCACTCTTCCAGGTCAGACAGATATGGTGCCAGTTGTTATCATTGGTCATAGTATCAATATCTATAATGTGAAAAGAATTAACATAAAATAACATAAAAATGGTAACATAATCTATAATTTAACTAGTTATAATAATGATAAAAAAGTTTTTCCAGACAGATATGGTGCCAGTTGTTATCACTGGTCATAGTACTGACACCTATAGGATAAAGTTGTTTTTATCCAACAAATTGCATAATATAAAAAAGGGAAATTTTCAGGAAGTGTGGAGATTGAATATATGGCAACTTAATGCAGTGTCATGCAAACAAAAGGTAATACAAAAAATCTTTCAGAATATTTCCTCTTACATATTTCTTTGCTAATTTTTCTTGGTAATTTACCATCAAACAGCCCAGCTTGTTTACTAGCCTCCCTGCAGTGTGGTATGTAGGAAAGATCAAAGAATAAGGTACAAAAGGCACATTGTATGTATTTTCTGATGAAGTATGTCTTCTAATCCATTTCCAGTAATTAACATTATTAGCTATTTGTGACAAAAATTTTAAAAGTGAAATCTAATTTTACATTTGTGCAACATTTTAAATTTGTATTCTCCTTTTTGCATGACAAAAGAGACCATCCTTTAAGTGTTCAAGTGAAACTTACAAGCATCACTACCACTGATGAAAACTTTAATGCCCTCTGATGACTGCTTGTACATTATGACTATGGCATTTGCTTCTTCTGAGTTAGCGTATGAGATAGGGCTTAACTTTGCTGTAAAAATAAAATGAAAGCAAACATATGCATTTGCATACATGTCTCCTCATTCACCAAAGCCAAAGTATAAGTAAAGGACAAACACAAATGTGGTGTTGGAAATTTGGCCGGTGGCCGAATTAATCAAAAGTACATAATGTTATAGCATAAATAATATATATCCAAACAAATAGTGCACATATTTTCATTTGTGGGGTTGCAAAGAGGTCAACAATTATCTGTACATAGACATTCATGATTAGGCCTTGAGATTCTGTCAGAGTTTATGTACAAGTTTTGTAGGCAGGTCAAAAATAATGAATGAATGAAGAATGAATTATTCATTTACAAAATATTGATAGAAATGTTTGCCTTAAAGGTGTCCTCACTGGGATATTCACTTCCTATCTAAATTTTCTCAAGAAAAAAAGAGCAATTTTGTCCTGTACTCCTGAGCTGTCTCTGCACTTGGATTCAATGTTTTATACCCATTTCTAGTTAAATGAACTCAAACTGGTTATAAATTTCTGTCCAAACACTGGAATTAACTTCGCAACAAGCACAGAGATTTTTTTTATTTGGCTTTGTATCGCGCGTGCACACACACGCGTGTGCGTGAGTGTGTGCGTGCGTGTGTGTAAGTTTGTGTGTGTGTGTGTGTGTGAGAGAGAATCTTCATTGCTTGCATGAAGCTGTGATGTGCCAAGGTTTTATGAATCAGAAGGAAAAAAAACAGCATGTATGCTTCAGGAAATCTTCATATTAAGAGTTTTTTATTGCTTTTAGTTTTGAAATGTGAAACATTAGAAGCTTTAAAGGATAACAATTGATTTGAGGACATTTTCAAATGCATGCAGATTGTATTTATATTCAAATGTACCACAAGCATAACTTTTGAACTTCAGTGTCATCCAACAAAATGCCATTATATAATTCTAAAACAATACAGAACTACTTTGCACAGATCTACAATGTACTTTGGTCATTACACAATTGGAATATTTAATCTTTATATTTTTACATAACTGTTCTTTTCTTCAATTTGTTTTTTCTAAGGCTTTTGGTCTTTATAAACTTAAGAGTTACAACTCAGGCCTGCAGCCAGCAATATGAAAAGGGGGGTTCTTTTTCTGAAAAAGTGGACCTTTCACCATGAAACCTTCATGTGCCTAAATAAAATTTTACCCAGAGGGGACCTTTTCCCTGGCAAAAAGGGGGGTTCTTCCATACCCCCCCGAACCCCCCTGGCTACAGGCCTGCAACAGTTCAAAAGTACGGAAGTCATAGTCTCATAAAAACCACACTGTCTCACCAACCTGAGCTATCATGATAATTAGTCCTTGCCCAATAACAGAGTGTGAATTCAGTCATGTCAGGAGTCCCAGCGTGGCTGGACAAAATGGCATACTGGCTGGTGCTCAAAGTACGCCATACCCAGACTGTTCGTGGGGAGATGGTTTCATATCGATGGAAATCTTTTCCTGAAAGAAATTAGGATTTTTCTTTAATGACCAAGGTACAACACATCCAAAATTGTGGAGTAACACTCAGATTGCAGATTGAGATGTGTGAATTTCATTTTAATTAAAATTGCACCTTGGTGATTCAGTATAAATTGTTGAAACCCCAAGAAAATTAATATTTTTCTCTAAAAAAGGCCTGATGCACATTTAAACCTCTTCTCAGTCTTCTCTACAAAATCGGATACACTACTCTACACCCACAAGTAGGTGTGTATAGAAATCATACCAACTGGCGAGGAATGTGTCCTGCCTGATCATCTCAAATCCAACTTGGATGTTTCATCCAATCTAGTAACAGCTAGCTATTCCAAGAAATTGTAGAGACAACTTTTGGCTAGACTGAGCAGATCCCCACTGGAGGGCATACACATTTTTGCCTTTAAAGCAACAATTTTACAAACAAACTTTCACAGCAATGCAAATACATGCTGCATATACATAGTATTTTCTATCTTAGTAGACTTCATGTGTATTTGTATATTTTTAGTAGAAAGAGTTTCTATATAATAATAATAATAATAATAATAATAATAATAATAATAATAATAATAAACTTTATTTAAAGAGGGTAAAACATGTTAAGTGCACACACTTATCTTACACATTTACTATTTTACTAGACCTCATGTGTAAATATTGCATTATTTGTAGAAATGTTTGTCCTAACCCAGTCTGTAAATAGCTGCAAAGCTAATTTTTCCTATCAATTAATACCCGACATGAAATAAAATTTATATTTAATTGTGTTGTATTGTGTTGTATAAATGCAATATATGGAGACACATGACCACATGACCATAAATTAGCATCTTTAGTTTTTTTTTAAAGCAATTAACTATCAAATGAACTGGTCACAAGAATGCCTCAGTAATTTAGTGTGAAAATTCTTGGAGGAAGTTGTTCTAAGAATTCACTTTTTCAGCAATCTTAATTTGGCACTTATCTTGTTTATTTGGATTCATATCTTTTCACCTGCATATATTTTGGTGTCCACATAGCAGTCAGAGTCACAGCTGGTATCTATGATGGCACACTGGATGTTCTTTGGATAGCACATGGAGTTGGATCTGTCGTAGTAGAAGGACTTGCAATCTTTCATGGCATTACAGGTCCAAATGCACCTCTTGTAAGAAGTTGATACTGCTGCATTTGAAATGTCTCCCCCAGCACAGGAGCCATATCTTCGCAAATAATACTTTCCAGTTCTTACTAGCTCTGAGTGCTTCACATATGTCCATCCACTTCCAACTGGACAGGAAAATTCTTTCCCTGTAGTAAAATGTAAATGTCAGAACTTTCACTTTTCTATTATACGTACTTATTTACACTCCAACCTATGTTCATTGCTGAAAAAAAGTTAATTGATACGGTATATACTTGGATACTTTAGAGCTTTTACTCATATGTATTAACACATTAACTAAAAATATATAATACATGTATAATAAGAATAATAACATAATATAAAAGTACTGTATTATTTTCATACATTTGGGGTATCTGACAAGTGTAAACCATTTAAACCAAGAAAACACCTGCTGCAACCAAATGGGTCATTTAAAAGAAGGACAAAAAAAATCAAAGGACTACAATGAGAACTAAATTATAGAGCCCCTTTTTACATCAAGTGGTACTGGTACATGTATACTTGACAGCTCTGGTCCAATTTGGGAGGTACACAATTTAATACTCTGGCAATTCATGATACTGAAATGCACTTGCTTATGTAGATACTATACCATGCCTTACAAGAATTTTCTGCAGGACATTCTTTAGGACTGAATAGGAATTTTATCAGATGCGCTATGGGATTCCTATCTACTAGTAGGACAAAATATGTCCTATAGGACTCCTTACAATTCTGGGCCAATTTCTTATAGGATGTCCTATTGTACCCTCTACCAGGGCAACAGATTGATTTTTCACAAGATATTCACAGATATGTCTTTAGATAAATAGACAGTCATTTCATTCTCTGCCACCCTGTGATGAAATCTCAAGGATGATCACTTGGCTGGTAATTATTTGCATTACTGATCAGGCACTGCCATTTAACAGGCCCAAGCCAAGTCCCCTTGACAGCAAACAAGACAGTTAATTGCTCTGATTTTAATCACTTGCTCTTTTGTGACAGACAAAAATAGCCCCTTATGAATAGCTTGTTACTTCAGATTGAAGTTTTTGTGGGTTAGTCATGGACCAAACATCACTTCCAGGAAATTTACATGAAAAGTTTCAAGACTTTCAAAAGTTTCGAGAATACTGCATAAGTCTAAGTTACAAATTTATGTAAACAGTTACTAACTGTTGTAAGATACAAAGTTTCAGGTACGGCCCCTGATAAGGAATAAACAATGGGTGAACCTACTCCAGCATTTGTTTGAGTAAGCTTGATACATTGCAAGCCTGCATTTTCTTGTGAGGCGACACTGGCTTTCACATTCTTCGGCTCCAGAAACTATACGATAATGTACATTTCCAATATCGCCTCCACCACAGTCACCCTCTTTCCACTCGCCATAAGAGGACATCAGCACTGAGTAGAAAATGAAAACTATCTTAACTGAACATGTATAGATATTACAAATACACGGTATTCTGGCACATGATAGATCTGTAAGGGACAGAAATATTATTAGTCAAATATTCAACATTTGCTCTTAAATGTTGTCTTAATGCATTCTGAAATATTTGCAAACATTTCTAATTATAGGAAATTAAACCATTATTTGTATTTTTATACCACTGGCAAAATAAGCTCAACAGATTCTACCCATATGATATCCATGTCTAGTTTATTTGAAACCAATCAAATCACTTCAAATGCTGAAATGGGAGTGCATGCTTAAAAGGGTGTCATGGGCCTGCTGCATTGATACATGTAATATATGTCTCATCTTGTAGCTTCCTTAAAATTTCTTGCACAGGATGGAAATCATTGTTCATGATCATTAATTAAAGTAAATCAATGTTAATATTTTGACTTGTATTTCCTCACCTAGACAATTTCCCCATCTTCCATCTAAATCATAATTGGTTGTGGTGGCACACCATGGCTGGTTATGGTTCACAGTGATACAAGAATGGTACACAGTGTCCTGATAGATGAATGGTAGAACACATGCCATGCCCTCAGAATTCCCACCAAATGTCTTCCTGATTGGATCTGAAATAAAAAACATGCACTCAAAAGAATTATTACTCTCAATTTCATAAAGGCATTCATTGGCAAACAAATCAGTTTTCTTAGAAATTCTAATAATTTTCTTTGGTCACTTTAGTTTATGTACTAGTAGTGATAGTTTCCAGTAAGTACCTTGTGCTTTTATGTCCTATTGAGAAAAACACAATCTATAACCCCATTTTCTAACTTTTATTTTCAAGTGAAATTCACCAATCTTCATCTCCATTATAATAAACTCGATAATGATAGACTTACAACTGAAAAACAAGCTTACATACATGTAGTACATAATTTTGCCATCACCTGTGGATATGGTGACTCTTGGCAAATAAGGGAGCAGTATTGAAATTTCAAAAAATATTTCTTTGTCTTTTTCTAAATTACGTTTTTTTTTAAATAACATATTCTCCTTATGAATGAGAATGACAGAAAATTTAAAAATATATAAAACATACAGGATTAAAATTAAACACTTTGACCATAATTCTGCACTTTTAATGATATATAAAACATTCAACATAATATTTTGAATTCTTTGATAACTCAAACTTACTCATCAAATTTATACAAGAACTAACTAAAACTATACAAATAAATAAAAAAAAATCATCAGTCACCTAGAAAATACTTCTCAAGCATCCACCTATCACTGTTTGAAGTTGGGCTTTCACAAGATTTAGTTTTAAGCCAACAGTGGTGACTGCTAGGAGCATATGCTATAGCTTTACACTCTGGTTTCATGTTACATCTATCTATGCAGTCCTGGACACTGGTCAGATAGCCATTTGTTCCTTGAAGATCATTCCCTCCACAGTCAGATCCTGTCCGGACAGCATATAATGACTCAGAAACTGAAAACAAATTAAATAAGATAAAAAAATTTAAATGCAATTACTAAACAAGATTTGGGTCTGTATTCTGATTTTTACAAAAATAATGTCTGAAATTTCACCAAAACAAAGAGACCACATCTGGTTAATCTATTCAGTCTCCCAAAATTCTTATAATAAAATACAGACTAAATGGGGACTCACTTATACAGTATCCCCATAGTCCTCCTGCTGTGTAACACCAGGGATGGGCATAATTTCTACCATCAGCTATACACTGGTAGTGAGAGGCTCCACTGAAAAAAAATTCAAAAAGAAAAAAAGGTAAATTTATATGTAGTCATGGTGTAAAGCTGAAATACTAAAATCACTGATATGACACCACCAGCAAAATGGCCATACTATACCTGGAAACAATAAGTGGCCATGAACATTATATGATATGTAATCTTTTGTAAGTTCAACTAAGTGGGTAAAAGGTCCACTTTTTCAGGAAAGCCCCCCCACCCCCACCTAGTCCACCCCTTTGAATTTGCAACAATGTAGCTACAGGTCCTCATTTTGGTAAAGGGGGGGGGGGGCAAACATTGATAGAAAAACATAAGATATAAAAATATAAAATGGTTGACAAAGGTATATACTGTAATTGGTATTTATGCTTATTCACTCCTGTGGTACCTTAATGTTTTTAATTTCCATTAACTGCATTTGCTAATCTCTTCTCAGACCAATTAAATTAAATTTGTCACTATAAAACAAATGCAACAGTGATAACCTTAACTTACTTGTAAGTAAATGGAAATTGGCAAGGCAATCCATTAGCATTCCCTCCATATGTATAGATATTTTGTGTGACTGGACCTTTCCCATGACCAGCAACTAAAAAAATGTCAATTTAATATATAGTCAAGCGACTGTATTCAACAACAAGTGTATCACTGCTAATCAATGTACAGCATCAGATATGAGAAGTACCACTATTAAGACACATTTTGTCCCCCACACAAACAGGAAGAACCAATGTTAACTAAATATTAAAACTCATACCTGTACAGTAGCCCCAGAGTCCATCAGTGTCGTAGTCAGCAGTTGTTCCACACCAAGGTCTGCTCCGGCCTTCCTCATCCACTAGGCACAAGTACTGTGGTTGACCTGTAAGATCATGTTGTTTGACAAAATAATTTGATGGTAATAACCTTCTGTTTTTAAAAAGAAAGCAAATTGAAGATTTTTTTCTAACTATAATGCTTGTACCAATTTCTCATCAAATATTGACTAATCATGAATATGTAACTGAAAATTAGAAAGACGCTAGGATGTTTAAGCATTCAGGTGGTGATATGATTGAAAACAGTCAAAATTCATTTTTTACCTTTGTATAGATAAGGCCAGTAACAGGCAGCACCCCCAGAATTGCCACCATTAGTAGGAATCATTGCATCTAAAATATGTTACATGTAAGAGCCAAAAGAGAATAATAACTACAGAAACTTCCTTTATAAGATTCTGTAGTTGACATTTAAGTATATTCTCAAGTATAGCATGTCTACAAAATATAAATCATTATCAACTTTCCTTATCTGGTAAAATAACATATATCTGCCTGGTGTGGCTTAAAATTGGTTTTGATGTTTAAATGATGTTTTAATGCTAAACATTATCTGTACAATTGTTACCACCTAGGCATAAATCCTGATCAGCTTCCATGATTACATTTCCGGATAGATGAATATCACTTAATCCATTGAATGCAAAGACATTTCCATGGGTGCTACTGTAACATTGGCCCATTCCATGAGGCTGTAGAACAACATCCCAGATATTGATTCGTGTCATGAAACCCGTGAAAGACTGGGACACAGAAAAACCGCCTCCTTGAAAATAAAATAAAATGGAAAGCTCTCAGTGAAAATTTGATTAAAAAATTACAAGTTCACCATAAAATACTAAAAAATACAACACTTCTTTAAATCAGTAAATGTATCTTTTATTTTTCCTATACCTATGCTGTCCTGGTCCTGTCCCAGTATAATTGTCCCCCCTCCAGCGATTGTCTGGCCAGTTTGAAATCCAGTCCCACTTCCAGCTTCTCTACTGTCCACATAGACTGCCCAGTACCCATCACTGCTACGCCACATGCCACACACCTGGAGACACAGGTAAAAATAGACTGAAGTATAATGTCAGTTTGGTATTGAAAGCCAATGCTCTTTTTGCTATAATCCACTGCTTCATAGTTTAAAAGCAAATTAAAGAAACTAAGTTACAGTATCCAAGATAATAGCATTTAAAGAAAGCTCAAAAACACGATGAAACTGGTAATAAATTTTTAAAGATCTTAAAAGATGAATCTTCTAATATATATTTCCAGCTGTTCACTTACTAAATATATTTATAAGCATATATTTATATGTTTGATTAAGTTCATAACCCTAAGTCACTTTGGTATGTTCTCATACCTGGTGCCACATATTGTCAGTCAGTGAGTTCCATCCGACTGTAGTTTGAGAGTCCAACACAAACAAATGAACAGATGATGGAAGCAACATGATCATAAAAGCATTATATGCTGCACTATTGGCATAGGAGAAAGTTGCCATAGCTGTCTGTGCATAGCTGGACATTTTCTGCCAGTAGCAAACTGTGACCTCAGTTAAGTCAGGGAGATTCACAGCTATTGTAGCATAATGAGATGTATTGTATCCTGGGAAATACAGGGTGGTGAATTTGGGAGATTGGTTTGGGACGTCAAGGCTCCTTGCTGAAAAAAGTGGACATAGCAAACATAAATGCTTTTCAACATTTATAAGGATTGTTGGTCTACTGAAAATCTTCAAGTTTGACAATTTTAATTATTAAAATATTAAAATATTAAAATAATGAAGAAGAAAACATACGTAGCAGCAAAGTTGTCTAATATACATACAGACAAACTTTTACAAATGAATATATCATAATAGTTAGTAGCATAATCCTTTTAATTGTGTACTAAAGTTAGCATGGACAATCAAAAAATGTAAGTAGCGCAGGCCTTCAGTCCCCTGGGAGTTCAAACCCACACCTTGAAAATACCAACTGAAATGCCAACACAAAATGAAAAAAAAAATGCATAACTTCAAGAAAAAGAACCAAATTCAGCTGGTTTTAAAACTTTTGATCTGTATTTTAGTCTCAAGAATCATTAATTGAAATGAGATAATTTTATACATGTAAGTAAGACAGTTTCCTTTCAATGGTGTTAACAATGAAAAGTGTATGTTGATAACGTCAAGGGCGACAACAGATGCAAGTGATGGCTCATTGTAAAGACACACTTGTCTATACATAAAAATAAGGCTTTTCAAAAAATTTAAAAATATCGAAAATGTCAGCATAACTTTGAAGACAGGCTTCAAAGGGTCTTGTAAAAACACCATATGAAAGTTTTACTTTACATTGTGAGCTATATCTGGTGTCAACCTCCTGGGCCATAAGGGCAGATTCTGTTTCCCAACCAACGAAGCCATTAGATAGAGGGAAACCAAAACATTTCCCAGTGTGAAACTGAATGGTCACATCTCCAGCAGGAATGCCCTCACACATACCATCCACTGCAATGATTAAGATTTGTACATACAATTAGAGAATTTTATAAAAAAAAATCTTAAAAATCAGATCTTATACTTGTAATTACTCTCTACATATGTATATTTATTTATAAATATGTTTATAAACAAATAATTATGTTTGCAGTAGAATTTGTTGGATATCTGAATTCATATATATCTTTTTAAACCCACCAGTCCAAGGCTCAGTTACATGTAACGGGAGGTCATAGTGACCAATTGAATTAGGGAGCATTCCCATAACCCTATCGTGCTATCTGGATTAATCTAACTGCTCAGGGATTTCTGCTAATTGCACTTAGTTTCAGTGGCTTAAATGTCTGACACCCCCCTGGTCACATACAGTTCTTGGGTAAAGTCAGTAAAACTTTGTGGTCCATGATGTTGTTTATGTTGCTTTGCATGGAGTGTGCCAGACAATTAAGATGATTACCCTGACCGCACTTTAGCGAGGATCCCTGCTGAGATAGATTGATAAAACATGAACTGAAGCCCATGCAGCTTCATATTACATATTCATTTGCCTATATCACCTGACCCCAATTGCAAATCGTTTGTTTGTTTGTTTTTTTCTGAAAGGTTAGCCCCACTCCACCCCCAAAAAATTTTGGGGGACTCTTAAGTGTGAACTTACAGTTTGCTGGTCTGTGCCAATCCCTGGCAGTGTTATCATGGTGCAGGTATTCAATGGTATCTGGATTACCACACTCCATGTTGTTGAATTTGAAATACCATCTAAAAAATTATGTGAATGGCAATAATGCAACATATCACTTGCAATTCCATCATGTTTAATGTATTTATTGGCTACTGACACATTTTTCCTCAACCTCAAGTATTTTTTTTCACAATACCTGGTAATGAATGTTTTGCAAATTACTTTCTATGAGAATGCAGTTTTGTCATGTTTCATGAAAAACATTTGACTCTGCCCATCACCATATCATTTTGATAATCATGTATGTAACTGAATTGAGAATTTTATTGAATGACTTAAATATTAAAAATATAAGAATTAAAATTGATGACCCGTGCCAAAGGACGTAACAAAGGGTTTTTCAGTATTTAATACTGCAAAAGTAGACATAAGCCATTTATTGAGTTATTTATATTTCTGGGACATCACACATCATACTCTCTTCCTGATAAGTTAAAAATTTTGTACTTTAGTGGAAATAAACTAAATGCTTGGAGAAAGTGAGATGGTGCTGCAAGCTGAAGTAATGAAGATATGAAATGTAATCCATTAATTTTTTTGTGTAAGAACAGAAAAATGTAGTAATTATTTATTTTTATTTTTAATTTAAAGTTGCTGGACTGATGTAGGTTAAGTTCAAATTGGACAAACAATTCTTCCCCTCCCTTACTTTTAATGAAATTTTGAAAAAAAGTTGAATGGACCTTTATATTGAAGAAGAATGACAATTAATACCTGACACACATTCCAGCATTATTATATGGTCCTCTCAGGTTACCTATCCACTGGACTCTGAGCGCAGTAAAGTTATGCTTCTTTGGAAATGTTACTTCCTGAAAAATCAATGCATGATATGCTTCAACATTAATTTTTCAGCTAATATACATATTTTAAAAGAAAAAAGAAAGATCAATATCCCTAGGGATTTCCAAGTTTTCCATTCCAATTATGTCAACTTCATATCGGCCATGCCTCAAGACATTTTGTAGAAATATAGATACCAATTTCAATTTTAGTCTACTCAACTTGTATTTGAATTGATCAAAACTCTTTGCCATTAATCATTTTCAGGAGAAGCGTCCATCTGAAATGTTGTACATGCATGCAGTAAGCCTATGATTTTTAAAACTATTTTTCTGTAAGGTCATTTTGTTAAAAAATATAGATTCAAGTATGCCACATTAAAAACATTTCAAACCATTGTTTAGACAACATCCCAATTTGAATGGAGCATTTATAGTGTAGGTTCATATTAGCAGTATAAATAATGCAGATACTATTACCTGCACAAGACCCTCTCCAACGCCATCAAAATTTACAGGAGTAAGTCCAAAATGATAATATCGCAAATTATCCACAGGGACCTCAGGGCATTTGGAATTGTCACCTGAAAAGTAAAACAAAACTTAACAAATTTCGTCATGTTGTTGTGGATGTTATTTGTGATATTGTGAGGATCTGAAGGAAATCTCAAGTCCTGAAAAAGAAATTTTCTTTTCATAACATCCTATTAGATGTGGATTCATTATGGCCATTAAGGTTGCACACTAACAGGTACTTTTGTAACAAAAGTAAACAATGGTAATAGACCTAGGAGCGGTCAATGAATTCCATTAGCTCTTGTTTGTGCTATTTGGCCATGTCCGGGTACTTTCATTCACATGTGCATGCAAATGTAAAATGGAAATAACGGTTCTAGAGCGTTCATGCTAGTTTGGTGTTGCTTGCGGATGAGAGAGCGGTGCTAGCAAACAGACAGTAGGCTGAATGAAGAAACTGTGCAACGGTTACTTAATTTTTTACATAATTTTACTTTTTACCAAATAATGCTGCTATCTCAATCTGTTTGCAAATGTAGGGCAATACCTGCTGATCAGAAAGAAAAATATATGGAAAAAGTTTTCTGCAATGATTTTCAGCAGGGATCATTTAATTGTTGTTCTAAAAGAGATTATCAGTCTAATCTCACATGTACAAATAAAACAAAAATAGATCGAAATGAAGCAAAACAGAATTTAAAAATAACAGTTAAATACACCAGTAATCAAATGTTTGGGAATTGACTTTGGGGATGTTCAGAAAGAGTTAGGTTGCACTGACTACTGCACAGTAACTGTATGGGGACTCTAGCTGAATGTAATCAGATAAACCACACACCTCCTAGCGTTGAGTAGGGAACGGAGAAGCTGGTAATTATACCAGTATATTGGAAACTAGTAGATGCATATTAGTTTGTAAATCTGACTGAATACAGCAAGAGGCCCCATGGAGATGATGCATATTAGCAAGTGCAGCCTAACACATTCAGAACGACCCTTGTGTGACTACTATATACATGTATAACTCGCTTACCCATACAATACACTTCGTTCACTTCACAGGAAACGCGACATTTCCCATTTGAGCATCTGCCCGGTTGACAATTGGTTGACGGTGGATCAAAATAAACTGGGGACTCATTCTGTAATCAAGTAAACAAAGTTATATAAAAAGCAAATAAAAATATATAACAAAGAAAGTAGGATTGTTCTGCAATGGTAAAAAAATAAAAATAAAAAAATAACAGACAAAACCAGTACTTTTCAATAATGATATTGTCTGGCAAACGCGTGCCAATACGAATTACCACAGTTTGACAGATATATATATATATATACAGATATTTTCAAAACTAATGGAAAAGGTGTCAATAGCTATAGAAAATTCACTGATATTTACCATCCAATATTTTGTCTGCTGACAGTCAGACCTTACGGTATGATGAAGTATTGAATTAGGGGTTTTAAAGAAGCTGCTTTACTCTATAATAGACAAAATTACTTTCAAAGAATGAAAAATATCGGTGAATTTTCTATATAGCAATTGACAAAAGGAACTCTAATCATTTCAAATACATAGCTAATGAAACTATTCAACTATAATAGTAAAGGAAAGTAACATTTATGCAGCAAATTCAATAATAGAAAGTTCAGCAGGAAAATGTGTTCATTATTATCTAATAATGTTATAAGATGCACACTGAAAGAGATGGCCCAAAATTATCTGTGCCTAATTATGGAGAGTACACTTAACAGGGGTTTTAAAGAGGTGTTATTTTTTGTTAGGCAACTAAAGAAACATTTACTGGGTGTGGTATGGATCACATGTGTGGGCAGGTAGTGATCTTTCAATTTAACGCAGCCTCCTTCAATAGAACAAGTGTATGACGAAACAAAATATGAAAGATACATCCTCTTGGAAAAATTATGCATTGTTCAAATTCACAATAAGGTTGGCACAATGTCTCTAAGAAAACAGAAACTCAGTTAAACTGTAAACATCCGGCCCAAACTTTGTGGCTACTTTGTCCAAAACTAAGTACATTTTATGATTTTTTGTTCAACTGATGTCAAATTTCAATAAGGTATGGCTATGAGAGCAATGACACCTTTTTATTATACCTTTATGACACGATAAAGTATTGAATTGGGGGTTATAGAGAAGCTGCTTAACTCTATAACAGACAAAAATGCTTTTAAAGAATGAGAAAATATTCACAGCTGTGCACTGTTTGCCAAGATATTAAAGTATGTTACAAAATCAATGCACATTAGCCACCAACAGAGTCACTTATCACCTTTATTTTATTGACAGTGCTTGGTTTTGTCTCTTTTCATGCCCTATTGTTTTTAGGAGCATTAAAATATTAGATACCTGCAATAAGTGCTTTTTTCCCCCTTGTTAAACTTACCCCTGAAGGTCTGACATTGATCAGATATATTTCAGAATCCCCCAAGGAGCCACTGCTGTTGACTGTTACGTATACACTGTTAAGAATTGTGTCCGAAAGAAGATGGCAATCTCCAGTTGTCTTGTTGAACACAGCGCTCTCACAACCAACACTTTGTAGACATTTTAGACTACAGTGCCCCGTGTTCTGTGCATTGTCAGTCAGCAACTCAAAGGATGAATTCAGAACTTCATGTAAAATAAAATTTAAAAAAGAATGATGCTCTTCATAAACACTGAAATTAAATAAGCCAGTCGCATTAAAAAAAATTTACAACTTGACTTGATACAGTTTGGCATGTACAAGTCAATTTTAAAAACTTTTCTGGGGTAATGTTATTAAGGTACGCCCTCCACCCTCTCTCATGTCACATGGTAAAGGATGTGCATTTAAATGGTCACCATATTTTTTTACTCAAATGTGTATTAAGAATGCCAATTAATGTAGCATTAATGCTGCAGTTTGGAAGTTTTTGTCTTAAAATGACCAACTGAAAAAAACTTTTAAAACCATATACAAAAGGCTTGATGACAAATATTGTGCAAAAATAATTTTCTTGTTTAACGTAAAAGTGGAAACCACAAATCTAATCTGGAAATTATAACATATGAAAATATTTACTTTCAATATACATATGGAAAATACTGGTTTTGAAGTAAGTTGATTGATAATTATTTACTTAAATCCCACTGAAGACAGTCACAAGAATATTCCCATAGTATTAACTTGTTCAAATAGTGCAATTTAGTTTCGTAAAATAAAAGGAAGATTTTTTTTATTCAGGTAAAATTTCAACGCGAATGTTCCTGACAGAAAACAAATCTGACAAACAAACAGAATAACCAGATTAACCCCATTAGCATATCAAATTTCCCGATCTCTAACCTGTTAATTTGTTTACAAATAATCTTTATAAATTGCACACATGTGAAATTAATATAATGTCACTTGTTGTTACATGTAACAGCATACCTGCTTTAGTGGCTGGCAGTACATTGATGTAGGAGGACTTCAAGGCGTTAGCTGGACATGATGCTATAGCATTATAGCTGGATGCAGTATCCATCAGCCCCGTTAACAACGACATCAGCAGTAGCAGTGCCATCTTTGTCTCCAACAATTACATGCATTAATTTTTCAATCGAGCTTCAGTGACAATCTGACAGCAGTTGTTACAGTTCAAAGGCAAAACTCTCAAGTTGGATAAATCATGAACGCAACGGTTGTGTTTACAGAACTACAGTAGTTCAAAGACAGAATCAGGATTTATTCAAATATCGCAAAGGCAGAATCAATATTATTTCCAGGTAGTTGGTAAAATGTATATAGTGTCATCACATAACTGTGTTAAAACATTAATAGGTAAAAATGACGATTTGATTTTATAATTTACAAACTGATTGCAGAAATTGATATTGATTATATAAACAGTGTTAAGATACTGTGACCAAATTTGTCAATTAACAGAGCAAAAGGTTGAAATATAACAAGGAATGTAAAACATGATCCAGGCTAATGTCACAGCTTGGAAAATATAATTTTGATCTCAATGTTAATACAGTTTAATGGACAAGGGATTGTGTCAATTAAGAGCAATTTTCATTATTGATTTGCATTTAAGAATAAACAGAATTTTTTCCATTAATATATATGGGAAGTTAAATGTAATGTCAACTGCATTTGAAGAAATTTGTGTATATACTTTTATCAATCAAAGTAAAAGTGACACAAAAAGTTTTGTTCAAACAGCAGATTCTTCAAATATAAACAATAAAATCCATTACAAGCAAAACCAAATATATGCATTTATCTGGATATTTTTCCCAACTCCGAAATTAAAATCTCCTGTCATATATTTTAGCTTTAAAACAATAGAGTGCGACAGATGTATGTAATGCTTATTAATGCTTGTTAAAACAACTAACTTAACTGTAACCTGACTGTAAATAAAGAAACAAATAACAGTAAAAATTCTGACAATGATTTTTGAAAGTGAAAAATAATAACATTAAAAAGTTGTAACAGCACTTCTAATTTTAGTGGAGCACAGACAGCAATCTGCTTGTCATGTCCAATGTGCCACAAGTGTCTTTCCTAAAAACGTAATTATGAAAGAATGGTCACTGCCAATGGCAAACTGAAATAACTTCAACATCATCTGCGTACAGGTATAACATAGCCAATCCAAAAAAAAATCTGTAGTTGAAATATTTGAAAACACTCTCAGAAGGCTATGAGTTAGCTTTCTTTAGAAAGTTACCAGTACCTGGTCAGAAAGTTTCTCCCTAACTATTTTGAGTAGATTTATGAAACTAGGCTTGGACTGATGAAATATACATAATTCAAAATTGGTTCTATCACATGTTTATCAATACAGCTTAGACATTTCACTTTCTGTTGGTTGTTTAAATCCTTGCTTGAAATGTTTTTCTTACAATATTGGAAATCGTCATTCTGACAGGTGGAGCTCCTCCACGATCAAACGTGTGTTGCTACGGGAACCAGATGTAATATCTGGGCCTCCAGAAAAACCAACATCTGCACATGAGTTGGTTGCATACAAGTCGATAACAATGTCACCTGACTGTAAACCCTTACAGATGCCTTCAACTGAAATGGAAATGCATCAAATTTGAAATAATTCATATAATTATGTTAATAAATTAGGCAAGAATTTTCAAGCAAAATATTGGACACAATTTTGCAACAATACTTCACTGTATCAAACTTTTTAAAATGTACCCGTTTAGTGCACCACACCAGGAATTTCCTATTTATTTCACTTACTTGGAAAAGTTCTGAGATCACTCATCAAGGGGTTTGTATATGTTCTCACAAAAATACTAGCTGGGTTGGTACACTCTTGGCCATTAAACTTGAAATAGAACTTGGCACAAAGACCTCCAGGTGTGTCAAAGTCACCTATCAGCTTGACACGAAGGGTACTCAACGAGGACTTTTTCTTATAAGTTGCGCTCTATAGTAAAACGTTATCATGTTTATTTTCAAATACATTTTGCCCATAAAACAATCAATTATCAAAACATTACCATGTCAAATAAGACTAGACTGAGAATCATTTTACCTCAAACTTATAACAAGGCTTTAACAAGCTGTGGCAATCATTTCACAAGTAAAACCCCTTGCATCCTTCCAGTTACAAAAGCATTTTTGTATTCAGATAACAAAATAAAATCAATTTCGTCTCTATGGAGAAGCACTTAAAAGATAAAGATTCCTGCATGTTCAGTAAATTTTGCACATGTACCTTTAAGAGTCCATTATCAGTTGTATCAGCTTGTATGTCCCAGTAAAACTGCTGGATATTAAATACAGGCACTTGGTACATGACACCATCTGAGCCTTCGACTTAAAAATAAATATGTAACATTATAAGACAGAAAATGTATAGGCAGAAACTTACTTGGAATATGAAAAAGGGAAATAAAATCCACACATATTTTTCACATACATCCTCAATATGACTAAGTTTTACTTTTTTGACAGTGGGAATTAAAAATATTAAGCAAACATTTAGACTTACAAGCATCAATATCATGTCCCATACGTATTTCTTCCACCATAAACCTGGAAACAGCCAACCATCCTGTGTTTGCCTCTCCAGTTTCCACCTCATTTACACTGCTGCGACTTTCACCAATCAACAGACGGATGCGGACTTTGCCTGCTGGGATTCCCTCACAAATACCTTCCACTGAAAATAATGAAAAAAAAGGGCTACTGAACTGCACAATTCTAAGGGAATACAGAAAAGATACTTAACTTTCCTACTTATTCCAATAAAATTTAAGCCCCCATTACTCGTTCAGGTAAAACAGTTTTTCTATAATTCCAACAATTAGTTCATTTCTATGTAACTGCTAAAAAAATTACAATCTATGCATCCATTTTGTAGATTTTGTTCTTATACTGTTAGGAGTAAAATTACCCATTNAATTGTCAATACAATAGAAATTAAGCTTACTCCCAGTAGTAAAAATTTACATCATTTCAATTTTGTATATTTTACCTTTTTCAATGGAGGTGGTCACACAAGCAGTTTTCATCCATGTTGGTTTGTTTTAATATTTTCTTTAAAGGTACATACGAACCGAGCATCGGTGGAGCGTGGATTCCCAGTAACACATGTAAACCACTTCTACTAGATTCTTATATGACTCAAAAAAATTCGACATGCCAAGGGATAAACTGAATAGATCACTCGATCTGCCATAAAAGACCTTTATTTGTCTTACACTGCTCCTTTCTTTAAATTTTTGGTTGTAAATTTAACCTACTTCTGTGACCTACTTTCCTGCCCCATTGACATACAGCTTAGAATGCCAGCAGAAAAATATGTTCAAACATCATTTTCGGGTAAAATTAAACAATGCCTTTTGGTAATTCTCTTAGTTATACTACTTGAAACTATATGCTGGCATTTGGTTGGATTTTGTGACAAAAAATTGACTTTGTATGCATCTTTAATCATGTTGATGGAATTTTAGGATACATGCAGTATTTCAAGTTTGAAAAAGTGATAATTTCAACTGAATCCAGATCACGTACATGATATCTATGCCTAAGACAGCCATAACATTTTTGCTTTGGATATATGTCCCATTGTAGTACTGTAAAGTTACTTTGTATCTACTTTATCCAGCTTAAACTAATGGTGTCAAACAATAAAATGCATCATTTTTCCTTGCATTTATAAGAAAAAGGACATACCATCTTTTACTTGTATCTCCCTTCAACCACAATGTGCCTTCCCACTTCACTCGTACTGCCGTGTCTTCCTCACGTTTAACATAGTCAATAAACTAAAGAAATAATGACAAACCATTAGAAATACTGCCAAACATAAGGTAAGCAATGATGGATTGTGCACTCAAAATACTGACTGGTTTTGCAACTGTTACTGGAGAAATTACTCTCACAATCATGTGAACTGTTGGATAACATAGTACTTTGTCTGTATATAAAAGCCCTGTTAACTCTAACAGGGCTGGAAAAGTTGTTTGGTAATATCTCATTTTACTCATAATACGGTTTCTTTTCTATTTTTTAGGGAGGGGTGGGGGATGGAGGGGGGAGAGGGTACATGTATGATGAAAACTTTATTATCATAACTACCATCAGTTCCACATCTCCTGTATTGTCTCCTTTGTTCAGGTTGTGCACTGTGTGCTGCTGGACATTAATCACTGAATGTGCCCCACACGGACTGGGGAGAGCCAACTCTGAAAAAAAAACAGTATTATCTTTAAATTACAAAATTTGAGAAAAAAAAACTCTGTATGTATCAAAAACATGTCTAGATCTCTACCAAGACAAAACAGAAAATTGCCACCATTTCTGTAAAAGGATTTTGACATATTATGGTACCATGCATTATATTAAATGCAAATTTGCATTTCAACATTTTCAGAATGTATTAGTAACAAATTAATGCATGAAATGGTTAACAAATAAATAAAAAGTTTAGTCCAGTAAAAGAAAACTTAATTTGCCACTCATACTGGTACTAATATTTAATTACCTCCACAAATATCTTCCTTGTGGGACTGGATATTATGTTGCACTGCTGTGTCCAGAATTTCTTGCCATGATAGGACATTCCCCTTCAGTTCAGACTGACATGTCTGTCCCATGGCAGTAATATCTAGTACTTTATCCCATACATTGACTCCAGTCAGATACCCAACATATGCTTGTGATGTAGAAAAACATCCACCCACACAATCCTGATCTTGACCTAAGATCCAGGTTCCACCTCCTAATACACAGAGTTACATGTAGTTAGTTTGGAAAAAATACTGGACGCAAAAGTTTTCAATACCAAACTTAACGCAGGGAGTCTCAGTAAAACTGCCCAGCACACAGACCAAAAACAACTTCAAAATGTGGATGCTCAAGTACCACGGTTATCCCAAGGAAAGAAGGTTTGAATATATATGTAATCAACAAGACTAGTAAAATCAGACTAAAAATTATATATTTTATAACTATTTTTCAATCTCCATTTCAACCATCCACCAAATCCTTCAGAATGACAACATAAAGGTACCCTGGTAAATACAATGCACGTGGAAATATGGTTTGCCCAGTGAAACTGCAGACACACTTGCTGGGCTACAGCTAGACTGAATTACATTTTACTCATATACCTACAGCCTTTCTCTATTTTGGTTATCAACAACACACTTACAAGGGTAGGGAATACCTTTTGCATTCCGCGTGATTGGCCTTTTTTTTCGAGTGTGATGCATTATTCGAGCCCAATATTCTGCGTGAAACGTGATTCAGGAATTTTGGTGATTGGTGATTGACCTGAATATATCTTCATTATTGGTGATAGAGCTGTTTTAACTCTTGGTGACTGGCGATAAAGGGGCGGGGGGGAGGTATTCTCTACCCTCACTTACGCAATAATAATCACCATCCCACACATCATCTATTCACCAACCCATTGTGTTAGAGAAGACCAGAGAGATTTCATCATAATTATTAATTGGATAAATTAGTTTAGAAGAGTTCCCTGAAAACCAATCACAACATTATTGACAGTGTATGAAGAGAAATGGTTATGACAGCATAAAAGGCTTGGTGAAAGATACTATGGATTTTTGTTTTTTTATACCTGCAATTGTTGTTCCAGAAGCCAGGCCCGTGGAAGTTTTAAGCAGCAGTCCATCAGAGTAGAGAGCCCATTCACCATTTGCACTCTTCCAGGTCAGACAGATATGGTGCCAGTTGTTATCATTGGTCATAGTATCAATATCTATAATGTGAAAAGAATTAACATAAAAATAACATAAAAATGGTAACATAATCTATAATTTAACTAGTTATAATAATGATAAAAAAGTTTTTCCAGTATGCTTGTTATATGTGCTGTAATAGTAATTAAGTACCATGAATAAAAACTGCACATATGCATCTAANTGGCCATTTTTTGGTTCTTAACAAGCCTACTATTACGCAATAATAATCACCATCCCACACATCATCTATTCACCAACCCATTGTGTTAGAGAAGACCAGAGAGATTTCATCATAATTATTAATTGGATAAATTAGTTTAGAAGAGTTCCCTGAAAACCAATCACAACATTATTGACAGTGTATGAAGAGAAATGGTTATGACAGCATAAAAGGCTTGGTGAGAGATACTATGGATTTTTGTTTTTTTATACCTGCAATTGTTGTTCCAGAAGCCAGGCCCGTGGAAGTTTTAAGCAGCAGTCCATCAGAGTAGAGAGCCCATTCACCATTTGCACTCTTCCAGGTCAGACAGATATGGTGCCAGTTGTTATCATTGGTCATAGTATCAATATCTATAATGTGAAAAGAATTAACATAAAATAACTTAAAAATGGTAACATTATCTATAATTTAACTAGTTATAATAATGATAAAAAAGTTTTTCCAGTATGCTTGTTATATGTGCTGTAATAGTAATTAAGTACCATGAATAAAAACTGCACATATGCATCTAATGCTACTGGAATGGAGTAAAAGGGGATTAATTTTTGCTGACAAGACAAGTTTTTTAAAACTTGATTTGATGTGCTTCAACATCATGCATTAACTGACAGCCTGTCACGCCATTTATTATTTATTCTAGTTTAACACTTAGGGTGCCTAGTTTACAGCCACAATTAAGTGGTCTGGGGGCAATATTTTAAAAAAATGTATTTTGATCACAAATTAAAATTTATTCTCGATTTGAAAATTACAAAATATTTTTGGTACTGTCAATCTTGATTGGTATCTGCATCTGTTTTCTAAGCAGAAAAATAAAATGTATCAGAAGATAACTTACAATATACACTAGCTTAAATTAATACCTACCAGTATAAGGGCTATTTATGTGGAGTCTAATCCCTGCTGAAGCTGCCCTGTACATTATTAAAATGCCATTGTCTGTTTGGGAGTTGGCATATGAGACAGTTGACAACCAGGCTGAAAAAATGTGAAATTCTTTTTTCAAAATTCAGTATATGATCTTTTTCAACAAATCATGTAAATGATCACCACCATGTAACAGAAGGATCCCCATATATAGGACAATTTCATACTTTCATGTTGATGGATTTTAGTCTTAGAAACTGGCTGTCAGAGCCCCTAGGATCCAATTTGGCATTATTTATTTTTTGAACAATAATAATAATAATAATAATTATAATAATGCTTATATGCAATTTATATAGTTTGATTGTACAGTAGTATGGACTGTTAAATTCACTATATTAAACAGGGTTATAAAAAATCTTTACTAAAAGTGTTAAGATGAAATAAAACATTTGGTACTAAAGGAGGATATTTAAAAATAGAGTCATTTAGACACACCAAAAGTTAGTTTTTTAAAGTATTCAGTCTCCATTGTATGGATGCCTTTCAAGATGTAATAGTTCTTAATTTTGGTCTTATATATTTATGAGCTCGACATCCCTGTGTATGACATTTTCTTATTTGCCTCAGGCAGCAGATGGTGTATTATGTGACCTATGGACATAATGAGGAGTAATGATTTGATAGCTAATCCCTCATGCTAATCCCTTAATTACGAAATGCAACAATCGGTATGTGATGGTGCCTGTCAAATTGGATCCTTATGCAGAAAATTATAACTTATAAACTACAAGCTTACTTTGAATATATATATTATTATAGCTATAACTTAACATCATGGCAGTGAGAGTTAATGCTTATATGTTATCAATACTAGAAGATTCTGTGCCACCTACTTGAACTGTCGTAGTAATCACTCCTTCCCCAGTAACATGCAGTGAATTCAGTCAAGTCTGGAGTTGCATGGTTGGACAAAATGGCATACTTGCTTGTGCTCAAACTACGCCATTGCCAGACTGTCCGTGGTGGAATGCTCTCATAGCGATGGAAATCTTTCCCTGAAATAGAGAGTATTCTTAAAAACTGACACTGAACAAAATGTAACAGTCTGCTAGTCAGATTGGCGATGAAATTTATGACAGTCCATATCAAGGATAAGGAAAATATGAAGTTCTGTCAGACAATATTCAGGCCCGTAGCCAGGGAGGTTCGGGGGGTTCCAAAAACCCCCCTTTTTGCTGGAGAAAGGTCCACTCTAAGTAAAATTTGACCTAGGTACATGGGGATTATATGGTAAAAGGTCCACCTTTTCAGAAAAAGAACCCCCCTTTGAAATTGCTGGCTACGGGCCTGATATTTGTGGCTTCTGAGAATTCTAGTGTTTGTTAAAGAGTATGCTAGTCCCCCTTGTTTTCAATGTAAATACTAGTATATCCTTATGTCTTCATGCTCCCTCCTTCTCACTAGAATTTTAACATGTGGAGAAGAGAATCTTTGGATATTTAGGAAAATAGGATAAAAATTCTTGCACAATCCAGCAAACCACAGCACCAAAGTACATGTACATCTGTCATGGAACAGTCAACCTCAGTTTCAGAGGGTACCAGAAACTTGCCTCTCAACTACATGTTATCTGCATGTCTCATACCTAGAAGACAGCTTGAAGTGAGCTTTCAATGTCCTCTATAAACCTAGGGTGAGAAATATATTGACCTAACCTGAAAAATACACTGTGTAACCTACCAATATAAATTTCAATCACACCATATGATTCAAAACCATGCACATTTTTTACCTGGATATATTTTGGTGTCCACATAGCAGTTAGTGCCGCAGCTGGTATCTATGATGGCACACTGAATGTTCTTTGGATAGCACATGGAGTTGGATTTGTCGTAGTAGAAGGACTTGCAATCTTTCATCGCATTACAGGTCCAAATGCATTCCTCATAGGTAGATGATACAGCTGCATTTGAAATGTCTCCCCCTGCACAGGAGCCATATCTTCGCAGATAATACTTTCCTGTTCTAACTAGCTCTGAGTGCTTCACATATGTCCAGCCACTTCCAGATGGACAGGAAAATTTTTTCCCTATAGTATAATATAAATGTCTAACTTTCACTTTTGCATTGTATTTAGATAGTTCATTGCTTGAAAAAAATTTATGATATATGCCTAGATATTTTAAAGCTAAATTTATTCTTATGTTAAAAACACATTAATTAAAAAAATACTGTGATATCTATACATATCTATACATATCTGACAAGTGTAAGGGACAATTTACAGACACTATAGTACTAACTGTGGATCTATCTATCTCTGAGGGGATTCTCGCTAAAGCGCAATCAACTCAAACAGCTTACATGTCTGTCATGCCTACTGAAGCTAATAATTAAATGATAATGAATTACCCCCTAGCAGCTTCATTAGGCCTGAATGGTAAAGAGATAAATTGTTCCGGTTGTTCAGAAAAAGACTACCTTGATGAAATTACTGACTAGCGCCCTGAGGAATGCAATGTACTTACTCCAACAGTTGTTTGAGTAAGCTTGATACATAGCAAGCCTGCATTCTCCTGTGAGTCGGCATTGACTTTCACACTCGTCCACTCCAGAAACCAAACGATAATGTACAGTGCCAATATCATTACCGCTACAGTCAGCCTCTTTCCACTCTCCATAGGAGGATGTCAGCACTGAGTAGAAAATGGAAACTATCTAAACTGAACATGTTTGATTTGTATAGATATTATAAATATTTTGTCACATGAGAGGTCTGTAAGAGACAGAAATATTATTAGTCCAATATTCAACATTTGGTTTTAATGTTGACTTCAAGCCTTTCGCGATATAGGCAAAAATTCTAAATTATATAAAATAAAACTATAATTTGTATTTTATAGTTTATTTTTATAGTACTTACAGACACACTCAACAGAAAGCATGTCTAGTTTATTTGAAATCAATCACACTACTTTCAAATAATAAAACAAAAGTGCAAGCTCAAAATCGTTTCATGGGCCTGCTGCATAGATGTTTCACCTTGCAGTTTCATAAAAAAACTTTTCTTGCACTGGATGCTTGCAAATCATTGTTAACATCATTATTTTGAACAGTCTGACTTGTATTTCCTCACCTAGGCAATTTCCCCATCTTCCATCTAAATCATAATTGGTTGTGGTGGCACACCATGGCTGGTTATGGTTCACAGTGATACAAGAATGGTACACAGTGTCCTGATAGATGAATGGCAGGACACATGCCATCCCCTCAGAATTCCCACCAAATGTCTTCCTGATTGGATCTGAAATAGAAAAATACTCTTGTAAGCCAAAGGAGAAGGGGCATAGGGGAAAGCATAAGAAGCAATCCTTATGTTTTGACAGCACACTCTTCTCTTTGGATAAAATTTTGAATCCATCAAGTGTTAAATTCAGAAGGAAAACATGTTGGAGTGTTAGCATGAAGGATCTATATTCATACCCAATGCATCCAACAACTTTTTGCCTTGGGGTCTTTGAATACAAGCCCCACCTTCAAAATGGGTTCAAAATGCTAAATGGGTTTCTGCCATAAAGATAGCAAACTTTGTCTCTCTCATTTGACATGCAAATATTTGACATTATAATATGTTCATAATATTAATAACAATTATATTAACATAATAATGCTATATAAAAAATAAACACTTTAATGTCTTTAAGAAGTTACCTCTGATAAACTTTTCCAGCATCCAGCGGTCACTACTGGAGGATGGGCTGACGCAAGACTTGTATTTAAGCCAACAATAATGGTCACTCGGTCTGTATGCTATGGCCAAACAGTCTGGACGAAGGCTACAGGCATCCAGACACTCTTGGTAATTGTTCAAGGAAAAAGAGATGATGTCATTGCCCCCACAGTCTGAGCCTGTCCTCAAGGCATACATGGGTTCAGAAGCTATGAAACAGAAGCAGGCATTACAGAGAACGATATCACCAAAATACAACTGCACAGCTGAACAGACTTCTGTTCTGAACTAGAACAAATCAATACAAAGGTGTAGAAAAATTATACATACATGAATATTTCCTATCCCCCACATCTTTGGTTTTTCTACAGAAAATCATTTCATTCTAAAATGGCATATATCTACACTGGGCTAAATTATCTATAAAAACATATTAATACAAAAGTGTAGTAAATTCTGTTTTACATCCTTTCCATAAAGTCATTCTACAAATAATATTTTCCTTCTAAATGGCAAAATTTCATAGTCATTGAAATAACCAGTATAATTTGATTTCAATTAGGATTCCACAAGTTTTATTTGCCCTACAAATACAGGTACAATATTGACCACCTGGATTCAGTGCTGCAAAAATCTGACTGAAAGTGATGCAGCATCAGCTTCAATGCCGCAGACTTTTGTTATGATGGAAATTTTTCTAGGAGCTTGATGCAGTGAAGCAGTGAAGTAAGCAGACATGATTAATTGTGAATAGTTTTGTTGACATTCAGCTGGAATGAATTTGAAGATCTCTCTGTTACGACAGAACTTTTTTCTAGGAGCTTAATGCAGTGAATCCCAGATGCTGTTTCCTGATTAAGCAGATAACAAGGTAATACCAGATGCTGTTTCCTGATTAAGCAGATAACAAGGTAATACCAGATGCTGTTTCCTGACTAATGCAAATGGCTTGAAACTCATCCCATGCAATAATCATACTTGAGTTGGTCCTTTATTTATGTTTTCGATTGTGTAAATGAGGAGACATAAAAAATGTATGGTTTTGGCAGATTTTAAAACATTCTGAAATTATAAGAAACTGTACACCAAAAAATCAACATATTAGCATTGTCAATGTGTCTTTGATACATGTAAGTTAAATCCTATTTGGCTACATGTTAAACAATACCTCTTTTTAAGCAGATGACTGATTGTGACATTTAATATTCAGCTGAAATGAATTGACAGCTAATGATGAAAAAGAACCTTTCAGCACCTTCCTGTATGAAACTAAAGCATAAACTTAAAATTATTTTAAGTTTTTTTTTTCTTCAAAAAATTTCAAAATATGCATACTGGGGTTAATTCATTACTGTAGAGCGAGTTCCTAGATTTTACAGTCTATGGTATACATCTTCCTTACATCAACCCACCGCATTTTCTAAATTGCATATTTTCTGAGCAAGTAACAAGGATTTAATAGCTGAACTTATTATATGTGTGTGGTTTTTGAAGACTATGACTCACTTATGCAATATCCCCAAGTTCCATCTGCTGCATAGCACCAGGGATGTGCATAGCTATTACCATGTGCAGTACAGGCTGTGTAAGTTATACCCCTGAAATAAAAGGCACCAGTAAATAAATCTAAATAGACCACTGATTATGATGACATCTTAATGTTAACTTAAATTACAAGCTGTAACCATGTATCTTACTATGCCAACTGCTAGGCCTTTTTTACTGTTGCAATTTCAATCACTAGAAGTAGTTAGAAATAGTAGTAGCGAACAATGTATCATTATTTAATTTATTCTGTTGGTGAATAGCTAATCAGCTAATGTTTGTACAGTACTTTCATTTTTTCCAATACCAAATAAACTTTATTGTATTGTTATTGTATTGTATCCGTTCACTTGGAAATGAAAACAGATTAGTTCTTCTTTAAAAAAAAATTAAATTAAAAGATCATACCCATATACGAAAGGGAACTGGCAAATTTGTCCATTAGCACTACCACCATAGGTGTAAATAACATCTGTATTATGCCCCTTGCCATGTCCAGCAACTGAAAAGTAAAAATGCTCTATAAATATTTGAGATTAAAAGAAAGTAGTATTCTTTGTCATGCAAAATAAGCAAAAGAGATGACTACATACCCAGGCCTTATGTTTTAATTAAATAAGAGAAATATTCATAGTAACAAATGCGTCCTTCAAGAACAGAACTTATGATACTCATACCTGTACAGTAGCCCCAAAGTCCATCAGCGTCATAGTCAGCAGTTGTTCCACACCAAGGTCTGCTCCTGCCTTCCTCATCCACTAGGCACAAATTCTGAGGCTGACCTATAACAGAGGTAATAGTAAAACAAATGGACTCCTTCCACTTGTACTGATTTTAGAGACACTTTTTACGGTTGCTTAAAATGTTTATATCCAATTTAAAAAAAGGAACATATAGCTTGCCATCTGTATCTTAAGTTCATTTGTCTGTAAATATTTCAAATTTCACTTGACTCAATAGTCAGGTCAAAAATAATATCACCCGTAGTGAAAAAATATATTTTGTTTGACAAGTGAAAAAGAATTATCAAAATGTGAAGATATAAAACCATATTTTATTTAGAAAGTTAAGTTCATTTAACGAATATTACTATGCAACATGTCGGTTCTTTAAGTTAAATAAAAGCAGGCATAGGCTTCTACCTTTGTATGTAAATGGCCAAAAACAGGCTGCTCCTCCAGAGTTTCCTCCCCAAGTTGGAATCATCTGATCTATTCAAAAAAAAAAGAAAAACATGTCCACTGATATACATTTTTGCATAAAATATAAGAGCTATATATCATACTAGTAGTAGTCTGAATTTAATTTTAAAAAATGTATAATTAATCTCTAATAAGCAATAACTTCGAAGCTATTTGATGGATTTATGCAACCTTTTGTAACTTTCTGAGTGAAAGTAAAAAATTGAAAAAATATTAGTGCTAACATAAAAAAAACAAATCTTAAAGATCTAATACAAAAGAAAATCTTGAAACATCAAAGTTATTGCTTCATGAAATCTTACTTTTACATGTTAAAATATCTGAAAAATAATATTCTGTTTATCTGTATCTCAATTACCAAGACAGATGTCCTGATCAGCTGATGTAGATACACTTCCAGCAAGAAAAATGTCATTTGCTCCATCAAATGCAAAGACATTTCCATAGGTGCTACTGTAACACTGGCCCATTCCATGTGGTTGTAGAACAACATCCCAGATATTGATACGTGTCATGTACCCCGTGAAAGACTGGGTTGCAGCAAAACCTCCTCCTTGAAAAAAGGACGCAAACATTCAAATCTACTGCTTGTACTGGTACACTGTTCTTGGCAATAAATGCAGTTATACTTACTTTGACTAATGGGATACACAGTAAGAATCAGCCATGCATTCAGTTTAAATTTCTAGAACCCATTATTTACAATAGTATCTTGGCATTTTCCCTGTCTGGCTGCTATTACATCTGTCCCCCCTCTGTCCCATCTGTCCCCCCTCCCTGCCCCCCCCCTCTCTATTCTCTCCCTTTTTAAACCAAATCAGCTGTACCTAAGCTGTCCTGGTCCTGCCCCAGTATAATCATCCCCCCTCCAGCAATTGTCTGTCCAGTTTGAAGTCCAGTCCCACTTCCAGCTTCTCTACTGTCCACATAGACCGCCCAGTAACCATCACTGCTACGCCACATGCCACACACCTGGAGACACAGGTAAAAATAGACTGAGCAGGACTGTAGAGGAGGGGGGGTGGAAACGAACCTCCCTTTTGTCCAGAAAAGATGAAGTTAACTAATCTGAATCACAATTTGACCTAGGTTCTGTTCAATTTTTCAAGTTGGGTCAACTAAAGGGGTAAAAAGTCCACCTCTTTCAAAAAACCTTTTAAAACTAGTGGTTACCATTTTGCTGGAGTATAACATGTCCTTATCATCTTGTGTTATAAGCAAATGAAAAAAATTAAGTTTGTAAACATAATAAATATATATCGTGATACATGTAAGATATAGTCTCACATTTTTTAGCTTAATATCCTAAAATATTTCCATAATAAATGATTCTTACAAATCATAAGACCAATTCACTTCAATCTGTATACATTATTATACCTGGTGCCACATGTTGTCAGTCAGTGAGTTCCAATTGACCTCAGAATCTGTGTTTAACACAGACAGAAGAATAGTGCCAGATGATTGAATCCATATCGTGAATGCATTAAATACTGCACTACTGGCATAGGAGAAAGTTGCCATAGCTGTCTGTGCATAGCTGGACATTTTCTGCCAATAGCATACTGTGACCTCATTCAAGTCCGGAAGAGTGACAGCTATTGTAGCATAATGAGATGCACTGGATCCTGGGAAATACAGGGTGGTGAATTTTGGAGATTGATTTGGGAGGTCAAAGGTACGTGCTGAAATAAAAAAGTGTGGACTTAACCTCACTCACCATCAATTTAATCAATAATGGAAATGAGCAAACAATGAACATACCCTCAAGGGTCCCTGAGACTCTGTCAGGTGTTGTAAAATAAGTACAGGTAACACAGCAGCACTAAGGTTTAAAGGTGCACATGATTGTGTTAGGCCTTTATATATATGTACCAAAAATTTAATTTTTCTAGAAATATTTTCATTTTTATTACTAAGGTATACACACTATCAAAAACCAAAATCCAAAATGACAATCTATAAGTAGTATAAAAAAGGGATGCAAAAATATGCAAAAATTGTTACAATTTCCTGGATTTTTTCCTATATAAAGATCTAGAGTGATGTATTAAACAATAGTCACTCATATATGTATATGTACACTGTACTGCGTTTTGTGAAAAGAGAGACTGCTCATATCAGTCACTTTAATAACTGAAACAAGGCACTTTTTATGAAAACTTTGTTACAATACTGAACATGGGTTTTAACTTTAAAAAGTTGAAATTGAGATTTCAGTTACTCACAAGCTGAGCTGTATCTGGTGTCCACTTCCTGCACCATGATAAAAGACTCGTCATGGTGTCCTACATAGCCAGTGGAAAGGGGAAAGCCAAAACAATTTCCCTGGTGCATTTGGATGTTTACAACACCTTCAGGGATTCCCTCACACATGCCATCCACTGAAAACATAACCAAAAAATTTCAACTTACCTGTATACTTAGTTACTGATAGCTGTACTTAGTTAATGATAATTTCACTTTAAATGTCAGTGCTAATTTTAATTCAGTTTATTCCAATAATTAAAATTTTCAATGATGTATTTATGACTTTACCCGAGTAAGCAATTACTTACTGGTACATCTATACACCTTAAGAAGGTTTAAGAATATCTACCTTGTTTTCACCAAAATCACAATTTTAGAACTTTATGTGCCTTTTTTTTCTTTCTTAATGAAATATCTTAAATAATACACACTGTGTCCTCGTCTATGCAAATCAGTGGCAGCGTTGTCATGGTGCATGTACTCAATAGTGTCTGGATTACCACATTCCATATTGTTGAACTTGAAGTACCATCTGGAAGAATTATCAAGAAGCAATGTCATAACACATCAGAGACATACAGACAGCTGATATGATAGTACATTATACATGTACCCAACAGCCTACCCCATGGAGCATGTTGTTATTATTATATTCTATGTTGTTTAACTTTTAAGTACCAGGTATCAACTATTACATTATAAAGTGATTGACTCTGAACTTAAGTGAAGGCGTATGTGCCATACCAGGATTATTTTCTTTTTGCTGACTGAAGTGAGGCAATAATTTTTAAATAGTAAACGACTGAGGGTAAATGACAATAAATTTGCTTGATTTTAGCTGAATTTCTTTGCTTAACTATTTAATCATTTAACAAATTTATATATCAAGATGAATAAAATATGTGTATGACTTCAAGGAATTGCACACATAATCTGGACATTAATATAGAAATTCAGATGTTATCTCAGATCTTGGTATAACCCCAGTATGTTATAAAAAATTGTTGCTTACCTTACACAACCTCCTGCAGTATTGTAAGGGCCACGTAAGCTTCCAGACCATTGCACTCTCAGGGCAGTAAAGGAGTGCTTCTTGGTGTAGCTTATATTCTATATAATTATGAAAACATCTCATAGGTAAACCAATAAAATATTTTGGAATGGACAAAGTTGTTTAAATAACAGAAAGGAATAGTCTACACTACTACAGAACGAAAATTGTAGCCAAGTATCAGCTGGGAACAGTTTACTGATAGGATAAGAACTATATATACGCATACAAGGATACACTGAAGTCACTCAAACCAACTTTTGAAAATTGAAATGTGTGACAATTAAGACATGAAGTTGAAGCGAAGTCCAAAAGTGGTGCATGAATGGGGGTTACAGGGTCAGGAGTTAATACACATACATCAGATTACTGGTGTATATGTATATGAACAGGTGCATATTTAAATGATAATATATCATTTTAGACGTTTTCTCGAAATTGCAAAACTCAGGTGCTAATGTAAGACACATAATTAATATATATCGATAAATGACAGACATTTCTAAGTAATTTAGTACATTTGGTAAGTTTGTGCATTTATATAAATATTTTAAAAGAACATAAATAATTGCCCATACCGCCACAATTCCCTTCCCTGGTGAATCATAGTTGAGGTTAAGAACACCCAAATGATAGTAGCGCAAGTTATCAACTGGATGCTCTGGACATTGGGAATTATCACCTGGAATTTAAAGGATGTCAATTTGGTTTACTATTACTATTATTGTAAACCCATAGGGACCATTCCCACTGATATTTGGATCGGTCTCACTCCTTGGGGAGTCTCACTAAATTGCTATTGATCAACTAACCTGCTTAAATGTCTGTCACGTCTATCGAATCAGCTAGGGGGTAAAGATATTACACCTAACAGCTTTACAAGGCGTGACAGACATTTAAGCCAGATAAGATGACAGCAATTTAGTGAGACTCCCCAGGGAGATAGATCAATCCAAATATCTGTGGGAATTGTCCGTATGGGTTTACAAAATCACCAATTTATACACTTTAGTTATACTAATAGGATTATAGACCAACTTCTTTCTGATCTGGAAGCAGCTAAAGAGAAACCTCACTGTACTTCTATGAGGTCTCTCTTCAACTCCCGCCGGTCAGACGAAATACAATTATCCATGTACACAATTTCACCCCAGTTTTGTCAACTGTATTTTAAAAATGAACGAGAAAAACATGATCGATGTGGTATCTCATATTACTTGCAATTACATGTAATGAATACACCATGCAGATTACCAGTATATCGATTTCTTTCTTTTCTTTTCTAATTCCCCCTACCGGTTGACTTTCACATCATGTACCCGACTTAAATAATGAAAAATGTATATTTCATATATAACGACCAAGTGAAACCATTATATTTGACCGATCTATACAATGCATGTTTAAAACCACGTGTTGTGCCAATTACCAACGCAGTGTGCCTCCTGCCCATCGCACGTCGCCCGGCACTTCCCGGTGGAGCACCTGTCACTGTCACAGGGTTCGGAATCCACAGGTTGCTTTGGGGACTCATCCTGGGAGATAAAACACAGTGAAAACAGAAAAAGAAGACGTGAATTCTTCTATACGGAAAGCGTTTCCGGATATGCCGCTTGTGTTTAATGCCGGAAGTTATGACGTCAAATGTTGCTCGAAAGGAGTTAGGCTGACCGGTCATTTTAAGGGTATTGTAACCCTTTATTATCATCAGAAAATGAGGTTTTTTTCCTGCATCTAATTATTCATTATTTTATTCATAATAATTATTCAGCAATGCATCTGTCTTAGTGCTGATTTAAAACAATAAAAAAGCTCGAAAATAAAAATATCGGCGTTTATATTTCTCGTCGTCAAAGCTTTAGTCGTCAGTTTAACACCTTTCTACCTTGAGGTGAGATAACATCGGTATGGGGCGTAAGTTCATCCCTGAACAAGATTTTATCACGAAAATTGGCTGAGTTGACCACGATTGCACATGTATAGACCACAAATTCAATTCCTTGCCGTCAGTCTAGTTTAAATGTTTTTGTTATTGATATGAGTTATGAGCCCCTAAATTACAGATTTTCATTAAACAAAGGCATTGTCTTGCGTTATCAACGCTATTTAATCTGAACTAAGACCTTTAAGAAAGGCAGGGTATTGGAGTACTAAATGCATGGTGTCGTTAAATCGGCGATAAAACAGTGAGCGTGGGTGCTCAGGTAAAAGAGAAATAAATTGATTTTTCAGTTTTTATCCCAAAATTGCAATTATGATGCACCCGCAAGATAACGTGTGGAAATGTTCATTAATTTAGTCACTGAGCACTGAAGATTTATCTACCGGTATTACCCAAAAGAATGTATATAAGACAGTAAATAAGACTAAAGTCGCTTTTTTGTCAACTTGATTTTCAAACGATTGGGTTGCTTCCACCCACCGACATAGCAAAAAATTAAAATGACTTTACGGATTATGTTCTTTGCAAGGCTAGGAATTGTTGTCATTTGCATTTTTCGAAAGTAAACAGCATAATATGCTCATATTTTATTTTTTCTAAGTACTGTAAGCACAGAAAGGAATATATATATATATATATATATATATATATATATATATATATATATATATATATATATATATATATATATGAAGCATTCAATTGTAAAATTAAATGTTTCAGTTTTTGTCAAAGGCAAGACGTAAAAATATTTAGGTCAGGTGAACTCATCTAACAGGATGATAAGATTAAAATTGATTTATGTTTCACGACCATAGATTGACAATGTAAGATGAACGCACATCTGCCAGGGACTGGTATGTGGATAAGAACTGCAAGATGAACATTATTAATTGTTTGAAATTCTACCCGTAAACAAGGCAAGGGACAACATACATGTGTATAAGTAGGCTACTGTACAATGCCATCGGGCTGGAATGGTCCCCTATCGAATGTCGTTAAAAGTCGTTAAAATCGCTAATATTGTCAGTGTACACTAATTTAAGTAACATCCCGGAATGAATAAAGTGTGAACGAAATTGTTTATGCTCTTAAATGTGCACGGAATAAAAAAAGTATATTTTTCACACACATAACAAACGGGCATGCGCCATCAAAATCATTTTGACTGAATGGTCGTCGGACTAGACTGTCAATATTGTTATAACTGTGAAACGGTAGAAATGACATTTCCTCACTTGTAATCCAAATTATACACAATAACTTTTTTCACAGAGTATGATAAAATCTTTTTTTTTTTTTTTTACGTTCGCACGTCTTCACCCACAAGCAGTTCCTCTGTTAATGACTAAAGATTCATTTACATTTTAAACTATCGGTCTCACACGCCTTCTCTTTTTTCCAACGTATTTGTATAATCACAAGCTTTTCTGTAATCTACTCAACGCCAGGAGGAGGCGTGTAAATCTGTTAAACTAAATGCATTCAGCGAGATTCCCTGAGGAGTTGGATTGATCTACGTAGACCGAGATAGTTTTCATGGGAATGATGAGAATGAACCTTAACTCCTTTCATGCATGGACGTCAAGATTGTCTTAGGTTTAGATAAGGGCCTACCCGGTGGGTCTATGGTATTTATTCCCGCTAATACACGATGGCAAGGTAAAATAATAATTAAAAAATAATAATAAAAACCCACTCGACTTAAAAACAGGCTATTGCAATTTAATTAATTCATTAATAAATAAAAAGCCATATTTTGCTCCAAGATTTAACGAGAGATCTCTGCATAGGACCTAAAGTATTGAATGGGATATACATGAAGTAATAGGGGGAAGGGGTACAAGATCACATGTTGTTAATATGTGTGTTTAATAATTAAAAAATGTTATAAAAAAGGAAAAAAACATTGCAGCATGTGTTTACATGTTACTGTTCCTGTTCATCTTTTCTACCTTATATACCCTGATTCTATCACCCGATAGTCCATTGCTATTATCATTATTTTAATTTTTTTATGAAATGACTATGGAATATAGGAAAGCAGCTCGGCCAAAATTTTGTGTTGTTGGCACTACAAAAAGTTTATTGATACATGTATGCATGGTCGATGGTTTTCGAAACAAATAGGGTGCGCTTACTTTCAATCGATATTTGCAGTACAATAGGTATCTTGGTCTGGAGGTTAATAGATGTACATAACGGTTTTTCGAAAGATGTCGTAGAAGTAATTGAAAATAGAGTAGATAAAAAAACCAAACGCAAATTGCACAAAGCTCCGTGACTCTCAAATATATGTTAATCAAATCCATTATTGACACATTTCAATGATTGTTGATAAAACTAAAAAAAGTATTATTGTAGGCCTAATGGCGGTTTCAGGAATTGGCAAGGGGAGTGGGGGTGTAGGGATATAACTATGCTCCTAAAGATGAAGACAATGTTATGTATGATATAAAAGGCGCAATCATGGGAATTTTTCTTATTTTTCCCTGTTTCGCTCGTTGTCCTGTTTTACCTTTTTTATTCTGGAGGGGAACGGGGTTCCTCAGAAACTAAGAGAGGAATACGTGCTTAACAATATCAGTTATGATATTCTTATAAAATTGACACCCAAAAAGATACAAAAAAATGTGCATATTGGTCTGTCACTTGCGACAAAATCATTTTAAAAGCTTATCCGTTTGATCAATATCGTGCAGATCAATGTGCCTTATGTTATGCGTTTATTGTTTGTATTTATAGACCACTCCCTAATGGGAACTAATGTTTGTTCGAGTAAAAACGATTGCAGATCGGGGAGGGGGGCAGCGGGAATATGCTTCCGCCTTAGCTAAAGATGTTACTTCCCCCCTCTCTCTCTCCAAACAAATCACTAAAACGAGCGACAGTAGACAAAGCACGTGCTTTGCGGCAGTAGACAAAGCAAATGCTTTTTTCCATCTCTAAGTGCTATATTTTGTTGGAAAAATGTCATGATCTCTCATTCGCCTTGCCTTTTTATCCTTGTCCTCCCAGGCAAAATGCTAAATCCGCCAGTTCAAAGGGAAGGTTGCACTTTTTGTATTATAAGAAGTTCGTCTAAACCACTTTTGTTGTGTATTATGTGTTTTGGGTTTCTAGCAATTAACACGAAGAAAATCGATTCTTGCAGCAAAAAAAAAAGTATCACTTGCAATGCTACAAATCAATGCAAATCAAATGAGAATACACTCTATATTAATGTATACATTATGCATTTGTTGTGGAGTAGCACGACAAAAGAGGGATGGAATATCAATCGATGGAGAACTACTGGAAGTCGAGGAATACAAGTATTTGGGAAGACTATTGGCACCAGGAAATGAAATGACCACCCGCCAGTAGTGGCGCGACACGCCAAGATCAATGAATGAATGGGTACTAGTACTTCTCACCTGGAGATTTATTTGTTTGAATGATAGTGCTTCTCTTCATAAGACTGTAAAATCGCTACTTATATCTGTTAGATTTCTACTTCGGTGCCCCAAACCCTACTGATAGTACTTTACTGTAAGACAGTAAAACTCAGCAGCGTATAATTTTCTTTCAAAATAGTAATATACATGTTATCGGACTTTTGCAAATTGTGGGCTATCACAGTAATGCGCCTTGATTACTACTCAAACACAGTTGTATTCATTATGCTGCTACGATAAAAAATTCATGTCCAAAATAATTTCCCTGCACATAGGCCTATACTGATACATACAAAGGTCAATTTTTCATGTGGCGTAGAGATATTACATTTATTATTTATAATTGTTATATTTTTAAGGTACAAAAAAGTTCTATCTTATCAAAAAAGGACACTTTCATAAAATAATGTGACCATTTAGCTACATGTAACTCTTCAGACACAAGGAGAAAAGTCCTGATGCAGACAATGATTTATGATTACATAAAAACACCAAGGAGGGTCTAAATATATAGAACAGAAAAACTCCCTATCACCAGAGTCCCTTCCAGCAGGTACTTAATTAGACGAAGGACGCCCTTGTAACAAGCCCTCGAAGAGAGTAGGAAAAGCAGGCCTATATGAAGTGCGTAGGTAAACAAAGAGCACAAGGCTTCTATACTTCACATGCTTCATATAATGAACAGATGTGCTTTCAAAGGCCCAGTCAATGGCACAATTTTGACCTTTTCAAGATTAATGTAACATATTCGAAGAAAAATAATAAACGAATAACAAAATGTAAAAAAAAAAGACACAATTCTCTAAATCATCAAGTTCTAAATCGAACATGCAAAAACAACGCCAGAAGACCTAGTTTACCTTTAGGTAAAAAGGGATACGGATGGTGAAATCAATGAAAATTTTATACATGTAACAGCTAGTATGGGCTCTGGTAGAGAATCGCATACGGCGGGCGGACGTACAAGCACGCCGGCCTCCCTTGTTGAATGCATGACTCTACGCTTATTAAAATTACACAAAAATACTTTTATTTTCATGCTTCATTTAAAGATACGTGTAAGTTTGAAACGCCAGGAATGTATATTAGAAAATAATGGGTGTAAAATGCAGCTTATAAAATAATTACGATGAAACAAAAATCATGGATTTCCACCCAAGATACGGAGGTGCACGTACGTCAAGGGGCAAATAAAAATTTTGATAAAGAATTCAAATTTATACTTACTCCCGTGTTCCTTATATTGACCAGGAACCAGTCAGTGGCGTTTGCGGCTGACATAACAGAACTTTCCCTAAACAACATATCGTGCAGCGTTTCCAACATCAAGTTGCAGTCCCCAGATTTTCTGTTAAATAACGCAGTGACGCAGGCACGATTCTGAAGACAAAACAAACCACAGTGGCCTGGGTTTTTGGCTTGCACGGTACCAACCCCGAAGGACGCATTGTAGGCTAGGTGCGATAATAAGAAAGGGTGAAGAAAATTTTAATTTCTTTGAAAAGTTTAATGTTCACCTGAGCGAATATTGTTTAACCAAAAGATGAACCATCATTTGAATTTGGAGAAGGCAAATCAAAAAAGGAAGGAAAACATACCATGGAATATTGCATTGTTTCCCCCGCCCCTTGGAAGATCAACGTCTAACAATTACAGATACACCATAATTGATTAAGCGAATAATTTTCCTACGCGATTTCCCCCTTTTTTTACAACCCATACGTTGTAAAAGATTCAGATGTAAATGCTTTGGACATTTGGACCTTTTAAATACTCATACGGCATTAGTTCTATTCATTACTACAATCTTTTGGGATTTAAGATCTTGTACTTCAAATATTTTTGAAGATTTTGGACTAGTTCTGCAGAAGCAAAATTTTGTTGACAACGATTACAAATACACTAGTAAATACAGAGATGTTATCTTATTCAATATATATATAATTTTATGTTTTAAATAATCGCAGTGCTAAAGCTTACCCGCTTCGGTCACTGGAACGATGTTAACGTATGATGACCGAGGACTGTTCGCTATACAAGCTTCCTTATAGCCTAACACCGTGAGTACCAACACAGCTAAAAAGACTGTCAGAAGAAAAAGACGAGAGTTCCATCTTCGCGCCATGATGTATTCGGGCAAGAATGAAAAATCCGTTACCTTAAAGTCAATCAATTATTTATCGACTTTGAAAATGCGGATAAATAAATAGCGAAGGTTAAGCAAAAAATACAAAGACTCCCGTTGAATGTATAAACAACGAGTTGGTATTAATGTTGGATAATCTATGCGTTATTATAAAAAGGCACGTAAAACAAATCATATGCGACAAAGGTTGCCGATTTTATCGGTTATATCATAACAAAAGTTCGGGTTGGGACAACGAACAAATTGGATCATCGATCGCAGTAACTGTACAGTCCTTGTTTAGTGTTCGTTCGCGTATGACTATGCTCATACGAAATAACATACAAACTTGACATATAATATGGAATATTTCGGTTTGGAAGGTATGCCTAGGTAAAAATGCGCTCTTTTTCTAAAAACTCTGATTCCATGTAACAAAACTGGACTGAATTAGACTAGTTTTGACGATGCCTGGAATGTTATTCTAGATTGAACTCTAAAAACCTAGGAAGGAATGCCTTGCCGATTGAGAGCCTTGGTAGCAACCAGGAGAGGTCAGGCTTAACAACGACTATTGCTGTGACTAGCCACTGACATGAGGGTCCTTTGTGGGGCGAATAACTCTTTAATGGTTGTTGTATGACATAGAATAGGCAATGTATTTTTGTTTGCTTCACTGGCGAACTCAGTTTATGAACTGATGTCACAATGGCATCAAAGAGATAAATTAAAGTTATTAAAATACGATTTTAATCTTTATTTTCATCTATCAGTAAGCAAAATAGGAAAAAACTGATGAAAAATGTTTTGGAAAAACTATTTCATATCAAATGTCAAGTCTGTATTTAACGGGATAATAACTCTTTGTATGAGTTCTATATTTCACAATAAAAACATTGTGAACAACTCATAGAAATATAATATATTCTGTTTTACCATAAAAAACGGCAGTTATAGCTATTATTCTGATATCTGAGCTTGTCTTTAAACCAAGTGACCTCCATAGATGGCTATACTCTGTAATAATTTCTTAAGAGATTATAACAAAAAAACAAACTTTGTAGAAAAAATAACAGGGACTAACTTAGAATGTAAAAATGGATTCATTAACCATTGGTAAGTATGGGAAAATTGTTGTTTACTCCAGGGAAATTAATTTTTTGGCCAAAACGAAGATTTATTATCCCTTTCACCATACAGTTAAAGATATTCTATCCATATAATGTGTTATGCTGAAAACGTTGCAAAAACATTGGAGTTTGAGAAAGGGGTTTTCAAAATTAGTTCAGCGTGACTTAATTGCGACCTCTTAATTCAGGCTACCTGTCTCAGCACCCCCAACTTCAATAGTATTTGTGATCAGTAACTACTGTACGCCTAACCAACGCTGATGTCCAACGTATCGATCGAGTTTTCTCGAGTTCTAGACGTTGTTTCGATGTGAAGGGGGAGGGGGGGGAGGAGATGGATTGCTCTCTTCGCTATGTGTGTATGTAATAGATATTTAGGCAAAATTGGAAGTTTGCTTTGTCCTGGTACATTTAGTTTTGGCTCTACAATTTGTTCACAAACCGGGCCCATTTCATAAGCATAGGTGTAAAGGGAAGGTTTTAAGAGAAAATGTTTTTCTTTTTTGCCGCGGAAATACATATGGTTACATAAGAGACAATGCAGTCGAACGAAAAAACATGTCGGGTTGAGTTTAAGACGAAACATCAGTTATTTCACGGTGAAAACTGCGATGTCTATCTTAGATAAACTTCCCTTAATGTAACATAACATTACCACTATAAGGGCGGCTTTTAATCTCAATAAGTGCTGTAATGTGGTACCAAGCATGTTTAAGTTCATTTCATTTTACAAGCACAAGGACGAAATAATACGTATAGTTTAATGAAATATTGTTACGAGGAGATATCCAAAGAATTTCATTACTGAAGAACTTTACCAGATTGTACTTATACATCCTAGTCGCCAAACATGAATGATGTTTACGGCGTCACTTATAATAAAGATTTTGAAGTCTTGGCCAAACATTCAAGTACTGACCTAACCGGTACGATTGCATTACTAGTTATTTAAATTTTTTGGCAGATGAAGAAACCAATTTTAACGCCATAATAATATTTAACATTGGATACGTTTATTGCAATATTAACAATAAATAGGACAAATGCACAACGCGAAAATGATACACTATTTGCTTCAAATTTGTTTTATTAACAGACAGATGATGATACTGGTAGATTATTGGAATGCATGGTTGCATTGCTGTTGTTGCACTCTGCTTGTCTCAGCTTTCAACAGAACACAGTCTATACTACTGTAAACACGATACAAAACGTTAAAACACTACATAAACAACGAGTAGTACTTTTCTAAAACAACACAAATGCAAACATTATTACAAAACACTAGGTTCATGATTTTTTAAGTTTTTTTTTTCAAATTATGTTGAGAAGATTTTCTATATAAAAATTTCACAATGTTCTATGAAATTTCACACTAGTCTTTGGGAAAAGTTTCCTTTCGAAGTCGTAGTCCGTATGAAAAAAGGTCAGAAATCCAAATAAGTTAAAAAGAAAAGTTCGATATCAGATCCGGGTCAGTCACATGTTTGTGCTTGTGGTTTATCTCGAAAGATAGGCTTGTAAGTCTCTGTTAAAGTTGTAACTATCAAGGAACATCTCGGACATCTAGAAAGAAGAAGAATATAATAAGAACAGAAAGAGCCATTATTTGAAGTGCGTTTCACAGAACAGCAGAAGTGAAATAACCAAGATTAATCTAATTTATTGAATTTTGGTCAATATTTGTGAAGAATAAATGCTTTCTGGTGGTTTAAGAACGTCCTGTACACAGAGACTATCTACATTGAGTACTAAATCCATTTTTGCATTACCTTGAAGGTGTCCCCGCTGGTGGCGCCACATTTTCTGCAGACGGTGATGCCCACTTCCTGGTCGCCCTTTCTACACTCGCACACCTGGCATTCAGATGGCTGAGATGTGGAGGCCACGCGCTGGGCTACGGAGTCGGCGAACAACTTCTTGTCGCTCCAGCGTCCCTGTTCCAACTTAAGAGAGTTGAAGACGGAGCCGTTGGTCTCGAGAGCCAAGGCCACACAGAGATCTTTGGGAATGGCGATCTGCTTGAAGAGAGCCCTGTCGCCCTGGATGTCGGAAGTCTTGCTGGTGAATGCAGTATTTCCGTCGACACCTGTAGGAAGAAAGAGCACATCATTTTTCAGTCCGGAGTTACAGATGTGTGATTTCTTGAGATAAACCAGTATAAATTGCCGCGTGGAATGAGTGACCAAGTAGAGATAAAACGGTAGCTCAAAAACAGAATGAACGAAAACTACCTGTAGCATTGCCATCATACTTGGCACATTACTACGGAATACATGACTGTTCACACTCACCGAAAATGTAGTTGGTCTTTGGAGATCGCCTGTTAGATTTCAGTTGGAATTCGTGCTGCATCATAACATGGAATTTGATGCCGCTTGGAACCAACAGAGACTGGATATCAGAGTAGTCGACAGACATCTTCCTGCAGCTTGAGCATGGGACCAGAATGATTGTCTTAGAGCTTCCTGTGCGGAATGGATAACGTGCGGCAAAATCGACGGCTCTTAGGGCATCAGAGTTCCTTCCGTCATGCAAGAAGGTCATACTTGTGGAAGCGATGTCGTGGGCGTGTCCGAGGAGTTCACCCTGGATTGTGTGCTGGTGCTCGATGTCGTGCACGCCAGCGCCGCCATAACCAACTATACCGAACTTGACGCTCTTCAGCCCTGCAAGTTAAACAGCAATGACATTCAGCACGAAGGTAAATTATTGAAAATAAAGTGATAAAGGATTATTGACTTAAATGCCAATCGTGTCCTTATTAACATCGTATCTAGTCTAGTCTTTCCTAAAATTATGAGGTTTTGACACTTTCTCTTTATCGGTAGCATTATTCCGCGTTTTAACGCCTCAATATGAACGACACGATAGCATACCTTGTCCCTTCATGTCCTTCTCAATAGTTCTGGTAAGCAGCTTGAAGTTGAAATCCTTGTTGCATGTCTTCTCTTCAATGACAAAAATGACGTCGGCGGTCTTGGGGACATTGGCATCACCGTTATCGGACAGCGTGAAAGTCTCGCCCTCAGTCTTGGAAATTCTGTTGTACTTGCATTGCACTACAGAAAACAAATGCATTCAAGTTGAAGGACTGGGGAACGAAAACCCTTTTTGTACTGGTAAGTGGTTTTTATTTTAACATTCTTAACGATATGAAAACATGAAAATTCATGAATAAAGAGTACAATGGACGTCTTCAGACTGAATATTCGGTATGTAGGATGAAGACATTTTTCATTTGAGAGCCAAACGTTAAATTCTTACCGCATCTGGACTCCAGACGCAGGTTTACACCGTGGCGTGCGCAGTCTTGCACGTAGCCTACAGCCACACTGCACATGGCATCAGCCGTTCTCAACCTGCTCATGTGATTGACGCACATCTCGAAGTATGGCTGTGGGTCGACCTGCTTGAAGCAGTATCTGTAGGGAGAGTAGGTCTTCTCTTTGAAGAGGGCTGCACACTTGTTGTACTCGTCGGTTCCCTCTGTAGCTGGGACAGTTCTTGCGAGATTGTGCCTGCTGTTGCATCTTGGTTGTACTTTCCAGCTGTAGGCAAACTCACCAGCATTCTCGGTGATTTTCTTCTCGGAGGTGAGGAAGTCGTTGGACATTTCATTGTCGTAAGTGCCGAAAAGTCCGGCAGTCTTGCCGAAGTACCAGCCGGTCATGTTAAGGCTGCAGACGTCGTGGGCCCAGTTGCACATGATGGTTACACCGTTGGAGTTATCGATGCGAACCACATCTCCCTGGCGACGGACGGTGGTTGACTTGAATTCAAATGGCAATTCTTCCTTCTTGGAATCGCCACCAATGGCTCCAACACGGACCTACATTTCATGAAACAAAGATATTGTGTAATTTTCCGAGTCTACGTATGTATTACAAATGTATACATATGCGTTACAATCTTTTATTCATAAGGAATACAGAAGTAAATCCATTTTTCTACTCTGAATATTAAGTTTTTATTTTATTTTATATGTAAGTTTATTTGTTTCACACGATTCTGCAAAATTAACTTACAGTGAAATCAGGTGCAATTTCGATGGATTTATCGTCGCTGAACACAGTGATGGACTTCCTCTTAGCATCTCTTGAACCGTCATAGTTGACAATGGCGGTGAAGTTGCCGTCAATGAAGTCTCTGGCAAGGATGTAGCTGCATTTTCCGGCATATTCGAAATGCTTGTGATCGAAGGTCATGAAATGCTGGCTACCGATCAAGCTGGCATGGGCTGAAAGAAAAAATGATTAAAAAATGACTTTCAAGTGTTTTTTTCTTCAAACATTCCTACTGAATTTCAGGGAAATACATTTCTCAACGCAGCACGTCTTACATAATCGTTAACATACAAAGTAAACCGGCAAAAAATAACATTAATGTGCACATACCTTTGAAAGGTGGTACCCAATCACGAATATCGGAGGATGGTTTGTATGTGTAGTACAAGTCCCACATGTTCATGTCATCCTTGGGTGTGTATTTTTTTACCATAGCGTCAAGCCTCTCTCTGTAGACATCCAGGTTCAGCTCGGGCATGCTCATCAGATCCTTCAGTGGGATTGGGTTGAAAACTTCGAACTCCAAGATGAATTCTTTTGGGTCATATCTGATGATGCGGGTTCTGTTGATCTGGAGGTAGTCATGGAGGAAGCTCTGCCAGCGTTTCTCAGCCATCAAACGGCCAGAGTCGTAGATGTTCTGCAGGTGATGTTTTACATTTTCCTCGAGTTTGTAGTATTTGTAGTAGTCCATGCCCTGTGAAAACACCATATGATATCATTCAATGTAATCATGTTCAACTTAAAACTGAAATTACATCAAATTTTAACTGAAAATACAAATACTAATAGTTGTGATGACAAAAGTGTCTCTGTCGTAGAAAAACAATTAAAATTTGGTTAACATTTTGGTATGGACTTACCTTCTCAACCATGTGATGTGCCATATCTTTGGCGTAAGCGACCTGTGGATGGGAGAGAACCTCATCGATCTTTGCGTTAATGTTATCTCTGGCTTGGTAGATGGCCTCGGCATATTTTTTCGACAAAACATCATAGTGCGTGGACGCTAAATAGTGGAGGCCAGACAGTGTTTGACGGGCGTTCAAATGGAGGTCACGCAGAGGTTTCATCCAGTCACGTGAGTTGATTGCATCCCTGATGCTGGCCATACTCTTCTGATGGAAGTCAAAGACTTTGGAGTAGTAGGGGTGAGCGCGAACCTTCTGCATGTACTCATCCACCTTGTGGTTAATTGCGTGTTTGTGTTCGTCAATCTTAACCATAGCCTGGCGATAATATTCGTTGTACTTCTCCACGAATGGCTGCATCTTTTCTCTCATTTTCTGTGCCTGTTCCTGGTAGAACTGCATCATTTCAGTGCGGAGTTCCTCATACTTAGTCTTCAGTTCGTCCATCAGCTGATTGTACCTTTCCATGCCGTTGACCTTCAAAGTGGACATAAATTCTATGGCCTCCCGTTTGACTCTCTCCATCTCGGCAACAATGGCTTCAATCTTGGCAGTCATTTTAACTTTCATCTCTTCATACATCCTTTCCATTTCGTCGATCTTTTCACTAAAACAAAATAAGATACCTCAAGTTTTCTTTATTAAAAGCATCATGAATATTTTTCATAACACTGCTACACTAAAGAACATTTCAGGGAATAATCAATTGTTTTAATAAACGCAGTACCTGATGTATCTAGCAGCGGCTGTGTAGACTTCGCCCATATCCTTCATGAAGAACTCGTTGCGACGGTACATCATGCGTATCTCCTGCTTCATGGTGGCAAAGTCATTTTCAAAAGAACTCAGTTCTCCATTCAGGTAACTCAAAACAGGCTCCATCTCTCTCTTGAAGCTGGCTACCTCAGGAGTGTAGAGGGTATTGGGGCTCTGCATGTACTGTCTTCTTTTCTCAGCATAATAGTCCCTCACGCTTCCCAAGTAAGCCTAATATGTATATGAATTTAAGTTTCATTATATTTCTAACTATCTATTTTAATTCTTCTTACGCACCATTATAATTCATCCTGAAAAATGTCTCTAAATTCTTGCAATGGGTGGATCTCTTAAAAAATAAGACTGTCAAATGCCTTAATGGAGAAAATAAAATATGCAAACGTATCTATTTTCAACATATATATATATACCTTGATGTCATCCTTCATGGCCAAACGGAGGTAGTACCTCTCATGGAAAAGATGGTTACCGATCAGGTTAATGAAGATCTCGGCATCATCAACTGGTCCCTCTCCCATATCGTGCATGGCTTTGAACAGCACGGCAGAGCTGTTGGGGTACTTGGCGAAGATGTGAGAATAGATCTTGCCATCTTTCAAAAGAAAATAATTAAAATAAATAATGAAAAATGATTTAAAATGATAAATGCTTAAAAGAACAAAAAAACTACTTTCTGTAGATTAAAAAACTACTGTCTGTAGATTATTATAATTATATCGTCAGTACTCTTTGACATGTGAAATAAATACAATACATGCTCAAATCTGTAGATTATTATAATTATATTGTCAGTACTCTTTGACATGTGAAATAAATACAATACATGCTCAAAAACTTTATTTCTGGATGGTTTGGAAAGCAGATATGGTTAGTTTACTTACGGGATCCAGTGGATTTCAAGTCAAAAGCAGGGGCCTCAGTGTTAACGTCCAACACAGTGTTGACAGTGTGTGGGTGACCATGTCTGGTCTTCTCATAGGTATTCTTCAGCTCGAATAAATAACCGTCTCTCTTGGTGTTCATTTTGCCCTCCATAAGCCACGGGGTCATCCAACTGTAAGAGCCTACCATCTGGCTGCGGATTTCCTTGCGGATCTTGTTGATCTCACCACGAAGAGCCATACTCTCATCCTGGTAACGGTAGAGGAAGTTTCCAGTCATGCGACCATTCTCGTCACCAGCATTGGCAGCCATGCTTATGTCTACACCACTTTCGGGGTGAGAGAACTCCAGCTCTACGGTGTAATTGTTGGTGCCAATGTTTCCAACCTTTGATGAAAGGGTCAGTTTCTTGCTGGGCTCTGGAGCATATTCTACTTCAAGTTTCCCGCTGTACATGGGAGAATCGTTGCTGCGGAATTCTGAGCTGATGGTAATGTCCTGAAATTTTAAAGTTAAGAAGTTAACATATTTGTTTTTTAAGTAAAATATGAAAAATGTACAAGAGTCCTATTTTATTTCTCACTGTACCAATTCGTAAGTAACAACATAATGTGACTAAACTTAAAAAGATGAAAAATTCAACCTACCCTGCGGAGCATAGGGTGTTTGATAGTAGTGATAATGGCAGCGCCGTCTGGGAGTTGGTTCATCTGTCCCTTCAGTGTCAATTTCTTGCTTTGGTCACGATCAGCATCCCACAAAAGTTCACCTTCAACCTTTTGGCTTCTGTAACTCTTTGATTTGTCCAGTGTCATGGCCAGAGAACGGATTGGAGTGGTCAGCTTGCCGTCATACTTGTCACCCTCTTGGTTGAACTCCAAGGCAACTTTTCTGTCCCTAGCCTGGTCCCAGGTAAGCTCGGTTTTGTGGCTCAGGCCATTACGAGACTCTGTGGTGGTGGTCAACCCAACAGTGCGGGATGGCAGAACAGCCTTCAATACAACCTCCTTCTTGTATCTCCTATCCTGAACGTTCAATTCCATCTGGATCTTGGAATTCTGATTTCTGGTGTTCCAGTTAATAGTGGCATCACCATCAACCTGCCTTGGAGCATAGAGGACATTAAAATTGTGAGTCATGGGGTGCGGTTGGCGAAGAGCAAGACGCCCGACATGGCGATTCTGATTCTTTCTGTACATCATCTCTCCATCTACCCATTTGCGCCCATTGTGCTGAATCTCTGTCTTCAGGCTCATGTCCGTCAGGTCAAACTTGCCATCAAAGTCAACTGAGGCCTGGCGGAGTGGTGCCCACAGAGTGGTAACAGTCATTCTTCCAATGTGGTGGTTTGTTCCAGAATAGGCGGAGTCAAGAGACAACCACCTGTCACCATTATAGTCAGCATTGGCCTTCATGTTTATGTCCCATGGCTGGTATTTGCCAGTCAGATCCAGCACCAGTTCCCTCAGATTCTCGAATGGAGTGGTGAGCTTCAGATTGCCAGCGTTGTTGTCGTAGGTGGCATCAACAGTTATCTTTTTACCCTGGGTCCAGGACACAGAGCTAGCATGACTTACACTCTTTTGCCTTGCATTGAATCTGTTACGGAATGAAAGAGACATGTCGTCAAAGTTCGGGATTGGGCTCTTGAAGTTGATACTACCCTGTGCCTGTGCCAAATTGTGCAGTTTCATGTTAATGGCTCCCTCTATCTTCTTGTAGTCACCATACTCGAGAGAGACACTGCTCTTGAAGCTTCTCAAGTTGCCCTGGTGCTTCACCTCATAAATCACAGATTCATACTTGGGAATGCTAGTGGTGACTGCGACCTTGCCTTCAAAATTCTGAGGCTGGCCCTCGTACTCGACACGCAGAGACTGAGAGTTCATGTTGGTGAATGGAGTAGTCAGCTTCAGTTCAGAGCTAAATTTCTTAATTAAGCCATCGTGGTGAAGCTCTGCAGTGATGGATGGGACACGAGGGTGGGAAGTGCGTAGTTCTGCGGTGATGTCAACTTTTGGCAAGGCAACTGTGTGGCTCACTTCAAGGGACATCTGCTCGTACTTGTTTACTGGAGTCTTCACCCTCAGGGCTGACTTCTGTGTCCTGTCATGTTCAGCTTCAAGGCTCCACTTGTCTTCAAGGCCAAGTTTTGTTTCAAACTTGTTAAGTCCTCCAGCATGGGACATGGTGGCAGAGGTATCAGCGAAAGGCAGTTTAGCTTCAAAGTTGAAGGTCTTGCTCTGGAGGTTGAAGTTCACATTAACAGATTGCTCCTCTGGCAGTCTGAGAGTGCATTTAGAGTTGAAGCGTCTCAGAACTCCACTGTGTTCACAGGAGATTCCAACATTTCTTAGACCACGGTATGAAGTGCGGAGGTTGCCTGAAGTGGAGAAGCTGCGCAGAGACCCCTCATGTCTAATTTCAATGGTGTCAATTTTGGCAACTGGGATGGACCCATCAACAGTAACCTTGGTGCTGGCTTTGTCCCAGGTCAGGCGAATATTCTGCCTCTGAGGGAGCTTTAAAGTAACGGCACTTTCAAATGCGTTCAAGTTACCATCGTTGCTCAGGGTGAGCCCAACATTTTCATAACCGTCAAATCCAGTCTCAGCATTCAGTAAGGTGTTGAACTTGGTAAGAGGACCGGTGTGCTTGAACTCTACAGATCTCAGTTTCAGGGCTGGTACTTCAATGTTGAAGTTGAGTTTGTCGGTAAATTTGTTGAATTTGATGTCGATGAACTGCACCTCTGGCAGTTTCACTTCAATCTTGGAAGCAAATCGAGCTCTGTTACCAGCATGATTAAGGTCAATGTCGATGTTCTCGAAGTTGCTGTAGCCAGATCTAAGTTTAGCAGATGTTGTAAATTTGCGGATGTAACCTTCATGGTGGAGAGTGAAGGATTCAACACTCAAAGCGGGCAATTCCAATTTGATGTCCACTGTCTTGGCTGGCTTGTCAAAGGCAACTTCCAAAGACTGCTCTCCCTTGTAGTTCACACTTCCTTTAGTATTGAAGCTCTGCAGTCTGCCATTATGTTCCAAACTCAAAGAGAGGTCATCCATGAAGCCAGTTGTCATGCTTCCGCTGCAAGTAAATCTTGCTAGTGGTCCCTCGTGAGTGTACTGAATTCTGTTGATCTTCAGGGCTGGCACAATGACCTCGAGGGTCAATCGGGGAGTGTTCCTGGAGAAGGAAACATCAAATGACTGCTTCTCTGGAAGATTCAATTCTCCTTTGGTTGTAAAACTGTTGAGATCGCCATTGTGGTCCAATTTCAATGAGAGATCTTCCATGCCACTGTAGCCAGTTCGAAGACTGCCAGAAGTGGTGAATCTGGTCAGGGGTCCATTGTGGGTGAGCTGGGCACTTTGAATCTTCAAGATTGGCAAGTTGATTTCAGCACTCAGCTGTGATGTACTCTTTGTGAAAGAAATGTCGAAAGACTGCTTTTCTGGGATGTTCAATTCACCTTCAGATTTAAATCTTCTAAGGTTGCCATTGTGTTTCAGTTTGAGACTCATCTCAGGGTAGGCACCAAAGGTCTTCAAGCTCCCATCACAGGTGAACCCGTTCAGTGGGCCCTTGTGCACGTATTTTAGTTCCTCCAGACTCAGGGCCGGAAGTGTGATAGTCAGGTCCAAATCAGGGGAGGAAGCATCAAATGTAATGTCAAAGGAGTGTTTTGCTAGCGTGCCACTGGTTGAAAACTTTTTCAAGTTTCCTTCGTGATTGAGGGTGAAAGAAACATCACGGAGCTTATTTATCTGGGATTTAAAATTGCCCCTAGTGTTGAACTTCTGCAGGTCACCTTCATGATCAATCTCAAAAGACATATCTCTGAGCATTCTCATTGGAGTCTTCAAGTTGCCCTTGGTATTGAATTTGCGGAGATTTCCGTTGTGGGACAGCTCAGCAGACATTTCTTGCCATTGGGGAATGGAGGTCTTCAGAATCATCTTGTTTTCAAAGTCGCTGATGTCTCCTCTGTGGGTCAATTCAAGAGAGGTCTCAGCCATCTTGCTGATGGGAGTCTTCAGTGTGACTTTGCTGTTGATGTCATTCTGTTGCATGGTATGGTCCATCTCCAGCGAAATCTCTTCATTGTTTCTCTTCACAATCCAAGTAGAGTCAATACGTCTCCATAAACTCATCTGGTGATTGACTGAGGCAGAGAGCCTCTCCCAGTTGCGGAATGGGGTCATCACACTCACTTCTGACTTGAATCCCTGTGGTGTGGCAGTATGTTTAACCTCCCCAGACATCTCTTGAAAGCTTCGGAATGGAGTAGTGATCTTGGCATTTGCTCTCAAATTGTTCAAGTCCTCATTGTTGTTCACTTCCACATTGAATTCACGGTGACTTCTGATGGGTGTAATAACCTTGATTCTCAGGTTTCTCAGGATGCCAACATTGCTTGCCTCAATGGCAACCTTGTCAAACTTGGCCATGGTTGTGGTTATGGTCAGTTTGCTGTTGAAGTCAACGATCTTGGAACCACGATGTTGGACCTCCATGTTGAACCTTTCAAATCCTGAAATTGGGGTGGTGATGGTGGCACTGGATGTGAAATCAGTTGGCACTCCATCATTAGCAACCTCGAAGGTGAACTCTCTGTAGTTGCGAACTGGAGTTGTGATCTTACCAGCAATTTTCAAGTTCCTCAAATCCTCAGTGTTGGACACGTCAATGGTAAATACATCATAGCCTCGGAATGGAGTCTCTACCTTGGTGCTGAATTTTCTCATGAAGCCCATGTTGTTGACATTGAAGGCAAACTTCTCAAAACCACGAACAGCAGTAGTTAGTCCTACCTGGGTCTCAAAGTCAGTCAACTTGTTTCCACGGTGGGTGGCATCAAGAGCAAATTCATCATAGCCACGGAATGGAGTTGTAACCTTCATCCGGGAATTGAAGTTGGACAAGGTTCCTCTGTTGCTTACTTCCCCAGTAAACTGCTTGTTTCCTGGCAATTTCTTTGCAAGAATCTTGGTTTCAAAATCACTCATCTGTCCACGATGACTGAACTCAAGGGACATTGATTTGTAGTCATCAAACGGAGTCTGGATGATTAGAGCACTGCGTATGTCATTGGTGGCATCATTCTCTACCTTGATATTGAACTTCTTCCACCCTGGATAGGATGTAATAAGACCTGCCTCGGTTTGGAACTGGATAGGTAGACCAGCATGGCTAAAGGCGAGCTCCATGTTCTCAAAGTTGTTGAATGGAGTCTGCATGACAAGTTTAGCTTCAGTGGTCCTAGCATGCTTGAAGATGACGGTCATTTCCATTTTCTTTGATGGAGCATAGGTCAATGCAATGTTGGATCTCAGGTCCTTCAAATGACCTCTATGCCCAATGGTCAGCTTCACGTTTTCTACAGGCTTGAAGGGGGTCATCAAAGTCATGCTTCCCTTAACATTACCAAACCCATAGGATGCCTCATAATCGGCAAGGATGCCGAATTTGTTTCTTTGGTTATGGGTCACCTCAGCACTTGAGCGGAAGTTCATGGGCTCACCCTCATGGTTGAAACTAGCCTGGATATTGCTGACTGGTGCAAATGGAGATGTGAAGGTCATAGATCCCTTGTAGGAATCAGCAAGTTGAAGGTCGCCCTTGAATGTGATGTCCTTTCCTGGTGCATACTCAACATTAGCTTCAGTTTCCCAAAGTCCCTCTCCTGGTGTTTTGTGATTAAATCTGGCATTTAAGGCTGGGAAGGCTTTAAATGGAGTCTTGAGAGCAAGTGTGGCCAAAATATCATCAGCATTTCTGAGATTGGTAGACAGATGAATCTTCTTCTCTGGTTTATCAAATGACAGACTTACTTCAGATTGCCATCCATCATTACACTGATGATCAACACTGAGGACAATAGTCTCAACTGGCTTGAAGGGACTTGTAAAGCGTAGGTTGCCATTGACAGCATGACGACCTTCCCATGTGCCTCTGTAATCCACAGTGCTTTCCACTGCAATTCTCTTAGATGGTGCGTAGTCTAGTTGAATGGTACCAGTGAATGGTTTCTTGCTCAAGTCTCCAAGGATCTTTGCACGGACATCTTTCACTGGAGTCCATGGAGTGATCAGTTCGGCGTTGGCAGAGACTGACTTTTCTTCCAATTTGAAGTCAGTCTTTCCGAGGATCATTCTCTGGTGGGAGGAGGTCAGTTCTGTTGTGGTCTTGAAATCAAGATCACCATTTTCATGGTCCAGACTCAAAATGATGTGACGGAGTGGATCTTGAGTTGTCTGGAGCTCAACAGTGCCCTTGATGGTACGTCTGTAGCCGAGGTTATGATCTCCTTTAATGTTGAAGATCACTTTCTCATGGTGCCACCTACCCTCAATCTTGCTCTGGATAGAAGAATCTGTGTTACGATGATCCCAGGACAGAGTATTGGTACGGTAATGCTCAATTGGAGTAGAGATGGTTAAGGTGCCCTTAGTATTAAGGGATGGGAGTGCCACCTGGTGGTTCATGTCTAAATCGATGCCAAACTTCTTTTCCACAACCTGCATCTCCAAAGAACTCTTCATCTGGTTTGTCTGGCATTGATGCTTTCCGATGAGGGAAATTCTTTCAGCATTGGTTATTGGACTATTGAAGGCTATCTTCCCTTCCCAATCCCAGATGCTACGGGCCTTGCCAGAAGCAGTGAGTGCCATCTTGTTGTTGTCCCACTCGGAAGAAATGGATGAGTCTAGCTGACCATTGCCCAATTTGTGTAGAAGCTTGCCAGAAAATTGTTCCATGGAGCGGAATGGTGTTGACATAGTAAGAGTGCTTTCCAAATCAGTGAGGGGTGTGCGACCATGTTTCAGGCTGAAGTCTGCTTCCACCTTTTTCCTTGGTTCCCAAGATGCCTCAGCGTGCGTAGTGTATTCCCCTTCTTTCATTTCCTGAGTAATACTACCGGCCATGCTTCTGTATTTGCGGAATGGAGTGGTAAGCTTCACATCAGCCTTCACTCTCCTGTTACCATAAGTCTTCTCATCAGAATAGCCAGCATCAAATACCGCCTCATTGGTCTGGTCCCAGGTTGTCTTCACCTTTGCCTTACCATCTTTGTCTGACTTGTGCAACATAACCTCAACGTCTCCTCTCTTCAACGGGTGGTTGAACTTCAGAGAAGCCTCATGGTGGAACATGGCATTGTTGGTCTTGTCTTCGTAGTCTCCCCCAATGGTTAAAACTTTGGTGTCATCACGGTCAGCATCCCATTTGAAGCTGAAGTCACCATGGTGTTTGTTTCCAACGACGCCATAAGTTGCTTCGGTCTTCAGGGTACGCTCGGGGTACTTGACAAAGGCCTCACCACTGACAGCATTTTTGCGAATCTCAGCTGAGGCAGCAGTAGAATATGATTTTCCGTCGTACTCAACACTTCCAGACATGGCGGGATTTCTCTTCTGCAAGGATACTCGGCCATTGATCTTGACTGGGCTAAGGTGGGCAACATTAATGGTTGACGATACCTCATGGTTGAGGCGTCCTTTGCGCTCATACAGGGAGGTCATTTCAGCTTTCTTACCGAAATCCCACTGACCAATCATCTTGCTGTGGAACTCGCCCTGGCTCTTCTCATCTACATCAGCATACAGGCGCATATGACGGGTTGGTAAACGCAAGTTGGCATCACCTTTCAGTTTCAGTTGTCCCTCCATCTCTCTCTCCAGGTTCAAGGAAGCTCTAGCCTCTTTGTTGTTATATTTAGCAACAGCATTTGTGTTTAGAGTGTTCATGTTGTGCTTGTGGTTGAAGCTAGCTTCACTGTCGACACGCTGTAAATTAAAGAAAGCCTCTAGTCAGAAAGGTCATATCTAAACAAAACTCTAACATAACTGTACACTTTCTGTACATAGATATCAAGCTCATAGATAAACAATCTCAATTATCATTTTCCCGTATGATATTTCTTCACCTTATTTCTGATTAGTTGTGTCAATATATGTACAGTTATACCATTTACTATTGTATCTATTGGTAACATATTACATTTTTTATTTCTTTAACATTTTACCTATGTTCTTAAAACAGTATATTAATATCACATATCAGAACACTGGTGTCAGCTGCAGGAAGAAAGACATCAGACGTACCATGAGCGGGAATTTTAAGGTAACTTTGCCGTTCATGTTGGTCATGCCACCTCTGCTGACATCATTGAAGTCCTGCGTGATAGAAATCTTCCTAGTGGCGTCAGTTGTATCACGGCCGTAAGAGAATTCTAGCTCTCCGGACAAATGCTTAGCTCCCTTCTTACCATTGGATTTCACTTGGAAGTTGTAGTCAGAAAACTGGGAACTTTCAAAAGCCCTGAAAAATCAATTATAATTTTACTTCCTCACTTAAGGACTAGGTAATTGAATTTAAATTTTGTTATATAAATGTTATTTAAAACCTTACATTTCCTCCTCAAGTTATACAGTTAACCATATTTTGTGATCAGAGTTCCAAGGGCCAACCGACATATTAATGTGATCAAAGTTCAAAAAGCCAACCGGCGTTTTACTTACAGATCAGCACTATAGTCGGCAAGGTCAGCAGCACTTCTGTCATTAATTTTTCCGTGGACAGCGAAAGTTTCTGTTGGTGCGCTCCTCAGGGCGTACTGCAAGTCTACTCTGGAGGACAGAGCTTTTGGCTTTGAGTCGTAGGTGCCAGTGGTTTTCATGTGGATGAGGGTGCTCTTCAGCTCCAAATAGTGGGTTAAACTGGTGCGCTTGGGACGCTCAGTCTTCTCAAGTTTGGCTGAAATGATAGATGTAGGTGAAAATGTATAACTCCACTGTTGACTTATTGACTTTTTTGAGATAGAAGTACAAAGCACTTTTGACTCTTTGTTATGAGATGGTAATACAAAATTATTTTACGCTGCTTTTTCTTCCGTGCTCATTGGTTTAAAATATACAGAACTCCTTGCAAATAAATAATTGGAAGCCTTTCGTATTGCAATGATCTTAACATAAAGCGGAAAGTCGAAAGTCACAATTTAAAAAAGCCAATGTGTGATTTTGTTAAATTCACTTTAAATCTGCATGGCATGCTACCATACTGTGTTTGTACATTTTAAGGTAAGACAAATAATTGGCACTTACTCTTGAACGTCACTGGCTCAGTAAGAAGGTTAAGCAATTTGGCCTCTCCCTCTAACTTCTTGCCTCTGACGTATTCCATACCACCTTCCAAGGTGATCTCATCACGGTTTGGAATGACGATTTCAACACTTGGTGTGTACTTGATCCTTCTTGGATATTTCTCAATCTTCAGCTCGGATGTCATTGAGTATTGTACCTCATCGATGGTCATACGTGACACCATGCGCTTCAAGTTGGCGCGGTTGGTGAAATCGGTATTCATGCCAATGGTCTTCCATGGAGACTTCATCACCAAACTGGCAGCCAGCTCAGAGCGGAGTAAAGCGAGTTCAGCTGAGATCTCACGGTTGATTCTAGACCCTGGGGTGTTGAACGAAACTTTGGATTTGAAGTTGGTGATTCTCTGGCCTCCCTTGTGAACCTGAGGGAAAATTTTAAGCAATTAGATAGTTTCTGATGACTTTTTAACAAGTAAGACCATGTAATATTTAGCTGTATATAACCCTAGGGCGATTGTTTTTATTTTTTCTTAAATTACAAGTTCCGGGGGTAGATAGCCCTTTTCTTCCCAACTTCTTATTAATTGGTTACCTTTATTTTGAATTAACACTTGAACAGGTAAAAAAAATGTATCGTTTAGCGGCACTAATCTACGGAACCTACTTTGGGCAGTTCGTAAGATGCCAAAAACTGGTAGCCAGTCATAGTGTCCTTCTTGTTCAGAGCAACCTTCACATTCATGGGGCCGGTGAGAGGGAAGAATGGAGCATCACTCTTCGCCAATGCGTTGGGGAGGGAGAGTTTGCCGCAGAGCTGAATGCCAAGGGCCTTCTCCAGTGTTTTGCCTGTGCACCTTTCCTGCTCAATGCGGTCATCAGTGATCATTCTCTGCTCACGCTCAGAGTCAAGGGAGACGACAAAGAATTTGGTTCTAAAACAAAACAATTTTCAAGTAATAAATAACTTAACTCTTGCGTTTGTGCGGTAAGAGCCATCAATCTACTTATACTTTTTTCATTCATTAATATATCATTCAAAATTCACGGCGAGAAAGCTAAAAATATAACAAAACAATTCAAAATAAATGAGACAGTAACCCAGCAGGCATAGTTGCGTTGGATCAACGTTGAAAACAGGTTGATACGTTGAATTGCCGTTGACCTACCTAAATTCAAAGTTGAATCAACGTTGATCCAGCCACGTTGACTCAACGTTGTATTTTGGTCAATGACACAACCTTGCAGTTATGGATTGTAATTTAAAATATTAATTATTGAAAACGAGATACTTTGTTTATCAATACTGTAACTAAATTAATCAAAATAATAACAAAATGGTTTTAAAGTAAAAGTGACAGTTGTTTTGTGTCTTTAGTTAACTAGTGAATTTTCTTCACTTGTTATTCAGAAATACATTCCAATAAACTAAATTGTTTGCAAGGTCAGCTAACACTAGTGTGAATAAGTTGCTGTTAATGAGACGTAGTTAACAGTCCTTGGTAACCTGTTATAGATAGACAGGTTGAGGTGGCTGTGACCATGTGTTATATATATATATATATATATATATTAATCTAAACCTTGGAAATTTTAACTAAAAGAACATACATTTAAACCCTACATATATTTAGCCATCAAACATGTCCTACTGCTAAAAACATCCAAATTTCCCGCTGGGTGGGGTTGATATAACATTGTTTTCTGACGTTGGTACAACGTTGTTATCTGAGGTTGACACAACTTTCAAATCCAACGTTCATTCAATGTCTTTTCAACGTCATGGTTCAACGTTGTTTCAACGTTAAACAACATAATTTGCCCGCTGGGAAGAGACTACTGTAAGACCTAGTTTACATTTCCAAAAGCTTGGCGAGTATTGTCAACACACGTCGTTGGTTAGAATGATGAAATATCCTCTGTTCATACACAAGATACTCACTTCAAGTCAAACAAATCGATCTGGTCTCTTGGCATATCGATGTTTGTGACGAAGACGCGACCGTCCTGGATCTGCATCTTGCCCTGGACGACTGCGCTGCTGGACAAAGTATTAACCATCTTCACACCAGCACGAGCAGATATAGCCTCGACAGACATCATGCTTGAGATCTCAATAGCACCGCTAAATGAAGAAAGAAAACCATTTCATTTATTCAATTCAAATGGTCCACTCAGTGATCATATTTTCAAAAATCCAAATCGCCATATACAATTCAGCATTTAAAGACACCCAACCTTTTGACGAAACTGACAGCAAAACCTTAGATAGAATTATTGAAATGCAACATTAGAATACTCATTACCTTGGCTTGATGTGTCCATCAATGTTCATTCCACGTGGGGATGTGCCAAGCTGACGCAGGTCCATCTTGCCACCGATCTGGACGTTGACGGTAGCTGTACCGTTGACGCTGAGCTTCAGTGGGAAACCGACGATGGTTGGGATGTTCATGGTGCTGTCCAAAAACATCATGCTGGTGGTGTAGTCATAGTTGTGTTCTTGTGCCAGTTTCTGAAGGATCTCAAGGAAGTTGAAGTTCATGGTCTTCAAGTTGGCCAAGTCCATGTAGCGGATTTCGTTGCCGAAAATCTTCAGTGACATACTGCCCTTCAGTTCATCTTCAGCTTCTGCTTCAAACTGAATAAATAAATATAATATAGATAGCAAAGAAATGTTTATCGAGGGGTTAGGATTTTTTCACTTATTTAAAGCAAATATCACACAAAACAAATATCGATAAATATAACACTTAACAATAAATAATCATTTACCCTTAAAATTTAAACGATCACTCCCTAAATATCCATGTAATCAACTTACGGTGTTTCCAAGCACGCTCACGGTGTTCTTCAGAGAGCCTCTGTTGCGCTTGAGCAAGTCACTGACGGCATTGTCCTGGAAATAACCATTGGGTCCGAAGAAGTTTTCCAGCATGTATTCCATACCCTCCACGCGGCCGTCCAGTTCCAGGAGGTTCATGGACTTGCCGAACAAGTCAACGGTCAGGTTGAACATACCGGAGCGGGGGATGTAAGACTTGGGAGACCAGATCAGATTGCTCTCAGCGGTGGCACCAGCATTCAGCATCTCGAAGAAGAAAGACTTCTCGATGTTGCGGGAGAATTTTCTCATGTCTAGGTTGAATTCCTTCTTCAGGGTCTCATCTTCAAGGATCTTGCGGATCTCCTGCTTGTAAAGGGAACCGGTCTCCATCAGGTTGGTCAGGTAGGTCCAGACGAAAGAGCCGACCTGGTTAACCTCCTCCTTCTCCAAAGTCTCCTTAACGTCACGGATGATCATGTCAGTTGGGCATTTCATCAGAGCCAAGAAGGAAGCAATGCGGATTTCTGTCTCTTCTGTGGTGGTCTTGAAAGTCTCCAACAAGCCATCGCGCTAAACAAGTGAATTTACTGTTTTAAACTTTCCAATCCAATTTAAATGTTACAGCATTTAAAATCGCTCGTTGAATAACGCTTAATTAAAATAGTGAACTTCTGTTCTTGCAGGACAATATTGTTTTTATACTGATAGTTACAATGTTATGAATTTTAACGGCTGTGCTGAATTTTTTATAGTTAACAGCAGTTTTTAACTTACATCAGCACCGCATGGCATTCGACGGAAAGCCTTGGTTGCTTCAGTTCTGATCTCCATATCAAGATTTTTGCTCTGGAAGCAGCGTTGCAGGGTAGGGATGGCCTTGGTGAGGATTCCTGTGTTTCCAAGTGCCTTCAGGGCCATCAGAGTCTTTTCGCGGTCGCCACTGCAGTCGCGTCCCAGGCTAGTCTCGAAGATCCTCAAGATGTCCATGACGGCCGTCTCCTCGCTGCATTGGGCGTTGCTAAGGCAGTAGGAGTGAACCAGGGTAGAAATGGACAGGAAAGCCTTGCGGGAGGTAGCGGAACCTTCCAACAGAGGCTGAAATATTGAATGAAAATATTAACGGCGTGTCTTTCAATATTTAAATGCAAGAGTATGAATTAAATCTTTGCAAGTAAGGCAAGAAAATTAATGACGGTTAAGCTGTAATGTAAACAGTCTCTTCCATTTCTGCTTCGCGGTTTTAAATCAATTCTCTGGCGATATTTCCTAAAATCTCAATTCTCGAGCGCCAAAAGAGGTCAAAAATGTACCTTAAGTGCAACAAGCATTTCCTTGGTAGGTTGCTGAATGAAGGCGAGGGACGTGAGCCACATCTCTGCGGTCAAGCCTTTCACTTCGTTGTTAGCGATCAATTTCTGCATTGCTTGCACAGATCCAGAGCTACCCACGGCTACCATGGCGTCGATGAAAAATTTCCTGTAAAATAAAGGATTCATTAGTGAATAAATATGATAAATTCTATTTCAATTTCATTGTTCGAAGAAAAAGTCAAACAAGACAAAAGGTCGAGATTCCAGCAAATGTTCGTTTTATTATTATTATTTTAATATGAACTTCTATTACATTTCTTACTTCCTCAAAAATTCCCCAAGAAATGAATCGTGTTCTTACTTTGCTCTGTCGGTGTTGGAGCTGCAGATGGAGTCAAGTCTGCCCCACACTCTACGGAGGGTGGCTTCATCCAACTCACGGAGGTTGTAGACGAGCTGGGCGAACAGCTGGGCGACTTCAGGCTTGATCTCCTCCTCACTCTTCTGGCAGATTGTAGAGAAAGTGGTTTCGGCCTCTCTACTGTCCCTGCTGCCGGCGGGCATCTCAAATTGGTGCTCAAAGAGAAGGTCGGTGCGACGGGCATACTCTGAAATTTTTAAGTATTTCGTAAGTAGGTTATTTTCAATTCAAGTAGGAATTCATACCATTAAGTAAAAAAAAATTAATTACTTAAATATGAAATACTTAGCATCATTCATTTTTACATTCAATGCACCATTCCCTAATCTTACTTACCGGGTGCAGAGGACACGCCATATCTGTCGGTAACGTACTCCAGCTTAGAGCTGGTGACGGTCACAGCGCCGCTCTCAAACTTAGAGAAGGGGCGGAACACGTGCTTCTCGATACAGCTGGTCTTGCCAAGGCGGCCACTAGTGTGGATTTCTTGTTCACAAGAGTGCCATGTCTTCATCAGGGGCATAGATTGGATTTCCTACAGAATTGATAATAATAATAATAATATGTATTTATTTGCAACTTAAAAAGTTGCAAATTACAATAAAAACAAATAGTCGTGAGATGCACAATCTTAAAATATACTTGTAAAAATAATTATCCATAAAATCGGACAAATGTGCGTATCAATCACAATTTAATCTGGACAGATACACTTTTTGTATAACAGTGATTAAATTTTGATAATAGCGAAAAGGCAGATAAGTTTTATTTGATACGTTTGCATGTAACAGATTAAGGCCGAAAATGTCAAGTTCCTGAGACAACGGTGTCCTGCAGCATGATTAGTTTTAGAGTTCATAGCCCACATTCCACTGGTCTGGATATTAGTATTACAACAAATTTGAACGCACAAATCCTAACATTCTACCAGTGCTAGTCAGTCTGGTCTCGCGTGTGCTAGTCAAAATTCTCCAGACAAAATTCTTCAGGCCTATGTATCACGTATGAATTTTTTTTAATTTAAGTTGCTCTAATGTATGCGTCAGTACGCGGCTGGGGAAACGAGTAATATTCTCACATTCATTAAATAAGTATGTTTGACCTCTACTATGACGACATAACTTGACAGGTGGCTGGGAAACGGTCTATTTCAGGGCGTGGGATAGTAACTGGAGTACATAACTTCATATAATGATAATGTTCGGAGTTGGGACCTTTTATTTTNCCACTCCTGTGAGTTTAATGACAATTGGCCTATCTGTTTTTCTTATATTGTGTTTACAGTGTTGCATATATGCTGAAAAATGAACAAGACAGCACTGTTCTGAAATGGGTTTATTTCCATTTTTAACACTATTTAAACATAAAACAAAATAAACAGTTTACTGCAATTTTTTTATGATCAACTAAGAAAATTGATGAGATGGGGAAAATATCAAAAGAACAGTGTTAAATGTCCATTTTCCTCCATTCTGAGATTCTGAACAAAGTGAATGATTGAATCTGACAAACTGCAATGATATGAGTTTATTTCCATTTTTGACACTTTATTACACAATACATGATAACAAGTTTACCATCATTTTTACATAATCAACTAACAATGTTGTAAACATGCAGGAAATGTCAAACAAACACTTTTATGTATCTTATTAGTTCAATAATGAGACTGTTAATATGCCTAAGAGTTGAATTTGAGGAAATGTGAAAAAACAGCATAACTTCTAAAATAATGGCCCAATTATGCTGATTTTCGAACTCAACCTGTGTTTTAGTAAGATTGCCCACTCCTGTGAGTTTAATGACAATTGGCCTATCTGTTTTTCTTATATTGTGTTTACAGTGTTGCATATATGCTGAAAAATGAAAAAACAGCATAACTACTAAAATAGTGGCCCGATCATGCCGATTTATGAACTTGACCTGCGTTTTAGTAAGATTGATTACTCCTGTGAGTTTCATGACAACAGGCCTAACGGATTTCCTTTAAATGTGTTTACAGGGTTGCATATATGCTGAAAAAAGAAAAAACAGCATAACTTCTACAATAATGGCCCTATCATGCTGATTTTCGAACTTGACCTGCGTTTTATGAATATTCATCAGCTCTGTAAATATAAAGCCAAAAAGTAAAACTGTCCTCCACTTATCGTGTTTACAAGGAAAGTGCACGGCATCGGCGACGGCATCGGCATCGGCATCGGCGACGACAGACGCAGGTGATGGCAATATGTACAGACACATCTGTGTCTGTACATAATAATATGTATTTATTTGCAACTTAAAAAGTTGCAAATTACAATAAAAACAAATAGTCGTGAGATGCACAATCTTAAAATATACTTGTAAAAATAATTCTCCATAAAATCGGACAAATGTGCGTATCAATCACAATTTAATCTGGACAGATACACTTTTTGTATAACAGTGATTAAATTTTGATAATAGCGAAAAGGCAGATAAGTTTTATTTGATACGTTTGCATGTAACAGATTAAGGCCGAAAATGTCAAGTTCCTGAGACAACGGTGTCCTGCAGCATGATTAGTTTTAGAGTTCATAGCCCACATTCCACTGGTCTGGATATTAGTATTACAACAAATTTGAACGCACAAATCCTAACATTCTACCAGTGCTAGTCAGTCTAGTCTCGCGTGTGCTAGTCAAAATTCTCCAGACAAAATTCTTCAGGCCTATGTATCACGTATGAATTTTTTTTAATTTAAGTTGCTCTAATGTATGCGTCAGTACGCGGCTGGGGAAACGAGTAATATTCTCACATTCATTAAATAAGTATGTTTGACCTCTACTATGACGACATAACTTGACAGGTGGCTGGGAAACGGTCTATTTCAGGGCGTGGGATAGTAACTGGAGTACATAACTTCATATAATGATAATGTTCGGAGTTGGGACCTTTTATTTTTCTCTCCGAATACATGAAATTTTAATGGAAATGGGAATAGGCCGGGCGTATTGAAAATACATATAACGAGATACATCATTTCCGATGCGTTGGATAATATCCCTCCCAATATCGAAATTTCCTGACAAAGTAACAAACAATGATTTGAAATTGGTTTTTGTCCTGTAAGCTAATTTGTCGAAAATGCACATCTTGTGCATTAACTATCAAATCTATGGACGTTACTTACAGACGAAGCCTTGTAGTCAGTGGCCTGGACGGAAGACAGATGACCATGGCGGTCAGTGCAGCCCAGGATATCCTTGGTCTTGTTAATGGTGAACGTACTCCAGCCCTTGCTGGTCAAGCTGTAGACGGTATTGCAATTGCCAGCGATGTCAGCCTGAAATGAAAAAGCAATTTAAATTCAAGACTAATTTTTATACCTTGTGCTGAAATTACTTATCTTAACAGTTTCTAATGTTTCAATATATGCTGAAGTAATTGGCCTTAGCAATTTATATTTTAAGCAGGTTTCGGTGATCAAATTTTTAACATCTTACGTTTCGGGGTCACTAGTTATACGCATGAAATAAAGCAGTTAATACATCAGGGGCGGATTGAGGCCGTCTTCTGGGTCTTCCAGAAGACGGTCAGGTTTTCAACTTTACAATGACGGGTATCTAATTTTTTTTTTGTCGGAAGACGGTCAGAAAAGGAGGATGGATGAACAAAGATAATTGGGAACACTGTCAGAAAATATCTCTGGATCCGCCCCTGTACATCTTACTTTATTTGTTTGTGTCTTCGTTATTGCAACTGAATGCAACATTGTACTGATTGCACAAACAATATCCCAGACAAAAATAGTATTCATTACAGACTACATTTTTTTAAATGCAAGAAACCATCAAATAATCTCATCGAAATGCCAGAATCTAATTTTGGTATTTGATGCAAATTTTCTATTATCATGAATAACAAAATACGTCTGCATATTTTCACGTAAAATAAATTGACATATTGCACCACGGGCATTTGTTATTGTGAATGGTTTCCGAGTGCTTTAATCGACTTCGCGTCATGACAACTGTTACTTCAATTACTTTTCAATGGCAAACACCCGACGCCCTTATAACACTAGGAAAGTTTCAACGTATGGCTTTTAACGGTGATAGGTTCCAGCCGCACACATTTTCTTATTATTTAACGGCCATAAATTCATATGATGGACCTCGAAACACGGGATGTCCAACCCATATCCGCCTTTTAGTTAACAAAGACTTGTTAGCTCAGTAGCCAGGTTACTTTTTGTTCATAAGGTCACTTTAAAAGTGTCATAATAAGGGCGTGCAATGAGAGAAGGAAAGGTCTTTTCTAAGAAACTTCATTCGCCAAACGGAACAGTTACTTCCGTTCATAGCAATGTGGTAGAAAATTTAATTAGTTCAGTCATGACGAGGTTATAACATACAATAATACGACATATTTATCTTCATTAATACTTAAAAATATTTAACGCTGTAAAAAGGTAATTTTTCCTACCTCTTTCGTGGTCTTGCCCTTCTCAAATTCGTCCATAGTGTTCTGGAAGGCGGACAGAATACCCCTCTTGAAGTTCAGGGCTTTCACATCCTCTCCCTCTACTGGACACAGGCTCTCCACCTCACCGTCCTGGAAGGCAAACCTCAGGGGGTTGGCCTCGACCAAACGGGCAAAGCGGTCATCAGTGATCGGAGTTCTTGAGTGGAAATTTGTGGGATCGGATTGTTCCAGACGAACCTGATTCACCTTTAAGTACAAAAATGTCCAATCTGTTTATTACTTTCTAAATCAACAAATCTTTGTCATATTTCAAATAAGATTGAAGTAAAATATTATTTGTTTATGAAGCATAAAGTAAGAAAGAATGTCGAATTCATTGTGTTAGAGAAGATAGTGCAGAGCACAATCCAACACAATAATCACAACTAGCACATCTTGAGATCAATCTTTACCTTGAGCACCATCTCGCACTTGTCCAAAACTTCAATTTCCACCGTAGCCTTGGCATGCAGGCCGGATTGTTCTTCCATCGACCCTTGGATTTGAGTCGTTGTGTCAGCTTCGTAGCTGAACTGATATGTCTTTCTCGTCTCATACTTGAATTTGTTCAAATCTGTAAACAAGTTACAACAACCGTTTAAATATTTTCTTCGCTTTACATTTCAAATCATGCAAATTTATAAATGACACAACTTAATAGTTCTCTCTCTTCAGAGCGAAACTGTTTCAGCCACACGTTTATTTTACATAATCATTTAATATATGTTGGACCATACATTTTAAAATCGTTATTTTTTATGTTATTGTTCTTGTTTAAAGTACTTTTTAATAGATTTCCAGATACAGATGTCAGTAAGTATTAACTATATTTGAAAAGGGAGGAACCATTACTTTAGAAAAGATAAAAGTATTTAATTTTCTGATAACTAATCAAAGTAACTTACTTAAAGATAGTAATGTGTATTTAACACGATTATGCGAATAAGTTAATCACAACTCGGAAAACTCTTTTTAATGATTGACGAACGCGTATCATCCTTTTTACTGATGAGTCCTAAGGTCAGGATACATAAGTGGTATCCAGGCACTCAGCTCAGTTTTGTCCACTCATCTAATCAGTAACAGTGAACTTTGGACCCAACGCTCAGATAATTGCGCGTAAGACAACCGCGGAAACATCTTAGCAACGTGAAGGAACTGAGGCGCCGTGTAAGTACAACGTAATTGTGTTTAATTAAACACACGCTCATAGAATTAATCCCGTGACGTAACTTTATACGAGTTAGTAAATTAGCTGGAGCCCATCAGCTAGGCAATAACCCTTTGTGTAGAAACATAACGTAATACTCACCCTCTCTGCAAGATCTTGCACAAGTGGTCTGAACCTCTCGTCGCATGGGAACTGGAATAAATTCACAATCAAAGTTAATTACTCCCACTTGAAAAGTAGAAGGCATAAATGAGAGGGATCAAACGAAATAAAAGAAGTTAATGCAAAGAGATTAATTCAAGTTCTGTCGGACACTTTCTTGAAATTGCCGCTCAAAACGATGTCGCTGCCGCTCAAAAGGATTTAGCTATCTGATTATATTATCTCTTTTCCTTACTAAACCTCAGACTCTGATGCAAGTGTCATTAATAATCATTTTGTTATTACTGTCACTATAACGATGAGAAAACGAAGCAAATTTGATACAATTCAATTCACGTTTTAAAAACTACTTTGCAGCACTGAGCTTTACTTATGCTCATTTTAAAACTTAATTGTTTGTGATGTGAAACACTTACATAAATGTTCTACAACAATTTAAGCTTATGCTTACATAAAATTATACGACTGTTCTTTCGAAATTCAGAATTATTATTTAAGAAACATGTTCTGATAGATATGAGCAATGGAGGGAACTACTTTGGAAAAAGTAGGACTTGTGATAAAAGAAAGTGTCTTTGTTTCAAGAGTCTTGGTGGTACTGCATGCCTACGAAGACCAAGCGTTCATCTACTGTATCTAAATACTGTAAAAACCGCTACAAACAATTTATTTAGTATTGCCGAATAAACAGTGAAACTCTTAGAGCATCTGGTGCGCGGTTGTTTTGATGCGCTCAAAACACCCCAGTCAGCTGACATTCAATTCCGTTTCTTTCTGGGACAAAATTTTGAATGGAAGCCAAATAGGACGCGATCTAGCAGATCAAAACACCTTCCATACTATAGAAGGAAAATATCATACCTATACCACTAACGCCTGACCCTACTTACGTAATACAAAGTTCAAGATACGTAACACAAGAGTTCATATAGTTAAAATGCATTGAAAGATCTCTATCTTTGTTCCATAGCTTTCTCTTACTAGAACAAACCCTCTCTACATCTCAAC